TTTATCCATAGCACGTATTACTCCTTCAAATTGGTTTTCACTTAATTTCCCTTTCATCAAACCATGCTGATTCTTTCTGATTACTTTGAGGCTTTTTGAAGTGTGCAGCTATAACCTCTTTAATGATCAATTCTAATTGACAGATGTCAAGCTAATTTTTCATTGTGCTATTTATGAATACCAGATTGGGTTCTCTGACACATGAAGCAACTTTACAATTACCAACTCTAATTGTAAGCCACTTGAGTTTCACCAATTTATAAGAAGTTATATAATGCCAAGTGGCAATATCATAGATGTTCCCTCTAAACATCAACTTAAATTTACTTTGCACAAAGTTAAATTCTTTAAATTTCATGTACACAGCTGCGTAAAGAAAACTTACAGGAACCTGTATTTAAACAAATCACCAAGGCAGTCCAAAAACTAAGTGTACGTTAATCACCATAGATATTGACTTATCAGTATTAGAAGTACAAGACTTGAAGAGGACCAGGGATGGAATGTCATGGTGCAGCAGTAGCTAGAGGTGTCGTCACTGTGTGCTAGCACTATGGAGATAAGTTACAGGAGTTCCAAGAAAATACGGGGTGACAGTTTAAAAATACCATGATCTGAGAGTGTTAAATTCTGAGATCAATGAAACAACTCTGGAATAACACCAAAAGAGGAGAAAATCAATTAGCTCCTAGAGCCTGTTCTGCTATTCAACGAGATTATGGCAGACTTGCGACTTAACTCGATATACTCGGATATCTCTCTAACTTTGGTTAATAAAGTTACTCAATTTCTGTCTTGATGTTAGCCATTAATATAGAACAGTTTCGTTTTCTTCGTTACCAAATTGACATTGGTCAGAGAGGTGAAAGCTTCTATCACTCTTTACATGTAGAGGTGTTTCATAATTTAATTCCTAAACAATCTAGCTCTGATTTATAATCCATGTTCCCTAGACCTAGGTTCCATATCTATCAGAAATGATTTCATTTGCCTTCTGTTCCTCTTCATATTTTGAGAATTTTGAACAACTCGCCCAAAAAACTAAATTATTCCTGTAAACGCTGCTTGCAGTTCAACCCAAGTATTACTGTAATAAATCTCTGTTAAACTCCCTTCATGACTAGTATGTCTTTTCTACAATGTCAGGCTAAGAATTTCTCTCTGCTCTAGGTGAACTTGGTTATGTGATCATTATTAAATAAATGGTCACAGTTTAATATTGCTCATGATCCATAATGATCTGATAGTACTAAGAAAGTGAATTGGGTGCCACTGAGCAGTTTATTGTTGAACTGGTGCTGATCAAAACTAGACTGATGGGGCAGTAATTGTCTGGGATGGATTTGTCCTGCTTCTTATGTACAGGACATACCTGGGCAATTTTCCACGTTGTCTGGTAGATGCCAGTGTTGTAACTGCATGGAGAGCTTGGCTAGGGATGTGGCAAGTTTTGGAGCATAAGTCTTCAGTACTATTGCCAGAATGTTGTCAGGTCCGTAGCCTTTGTAGTATTGGTATCTCCAGCTGTTTCTTGATATCGTGTGGGGTGAATCAAATTGGCTGAATTGGTATCTGTAATGCTGGGAACCACTGGAGAAGGCCAAGATGAATCATCTGCTGGGCACTTCTGGCTAAAGATTGCTGCAAATGCTTCACCTTTATCCTTTGCATTGATGTGCTGGGCTCTTCCATCATCGAGGATGGGAATATTTGTGGAGTCTTCTCTTCCACTGAGTTATTGAATTGTCCACTACCATTTGTGACTGGATGTGGCAGGACGGCAGAGTTTAGATCTGATCCATTGGTTGTGGGATTGCTTAACTGCGTCTGTCACTTGCTGTTCGCCACAGAAGTAGACCTGTTTCCTAGTTTCATCAGGTTGACACCTCATTTCATGTTTGCCTGGTGCTGCTCCTGGCATACCCTCCTTCACTCTCCATTGAGACAGGGTTGATCCCCTGGCTTGATGATAATGGTTGAGTGGGGGAATATGCTCAGCCAAGAGGTTGCAGATTGTGCTGGAGGATAATTCTGATGCTCTTGATGGCCCACAGTGCCTCATGGATGCCTGATGTTGAGTTCTTAGATAGTCGTCCTGTTTAGCACAGTGATAATGCCAACACAGTGGAGATTATTCTCAGTGTGAAAGCAGGACTTCATCTTTACAAGGACTGTGCAGTGGTCATTCCTACTGATAATGTAATGGACAGATGCTTCTGCATCTGTAAAATTGGGAAAGATGAGGTCGAGAATGTTTTACCCTCATGTCAGTTCCCTCACCACCTGCTGCAGCCCCAGTCTAGCAGCTATAAACTTTAGCACTTAACCAGCTCAATTAGTAGTGTTGCTGCCTAGCCAGTCTTGGTGGTGGACGTTGAAATCTCCTACCCAGAGTACATTTTGTGCCTTTACCATCCTCAGTGCTTCCTCCAAGTGTGTTTCAACATGGCGGAGTGTAAGATTCATCAGCAGAAGGAGGACGGTACATAGTAATCTGCAGGAGGTTTCCTTGCCCGTGTTTAACTTGAAGCCGTGAGACTTCAGAGTCAATGTTGACGAATCCTAGGGTAATTCCCTCCCATCTGTATACCTCCATGCCGTAACCTCTGCTGCATCTGTCCTGCCCAGGGAACAGGACGTATCCAATGATGGTGATTGTGATTTCTGGGACATTGTAAGGTATGATTCCGTGAGTATGACAATGTCAGGCTATTGCCTGCCTAGTCTGGTGTGAGACAGCTCTGCCAATTTTGGCACTAGTCCCCAGATGTTAGTAGGGAGGACTTCGCAGGATCGACAGGGCTGTTTCTGCTGTTGTCTTTACCGGTGCTTATGTTGATGCCAGGTAATTCATCTGGTTTCATTTCTTTGAGACTGTGGCGATTGATATAACTGGCCTGCCAGGCCATTTCAGAGGTCTTTGCTGTAGGTCTGGAGTCACATGTAGACCAGACCAAGTAAGGATGGTGGATTTCCTTTCCTGAAGGACATTACAAAACTAAATGTGTTTTTCTGAGAATAGTTTCATGATCAGCAGTAGACTTTTAATTCCATTTTTTTTTTATTGCTATGTCAGTATTTGAACCTTGGTCCCCAGAACGTTAGCTGAGTTTCTGGAATAATGGTCTGGCAATTAATACCACTAGGTCATCACCTCCCTGTCAACCTGATTTACTCTCGTCTGTCCTGGGATCTAGCCCTGACCCTGCTTGGACCCAAGTTCCCACTCCACTGTCCTCCAGGGACCTTACTCTTCCCCAAGTGACATTTTTTTTTCTACCCACCCCCATCGCTTTTCCCTAGGGGCTCCACCAACCAGTTTCCCCAGGAACCTGATGCTCCTCCCGTGTATTGCTCCAGACTTGACCACCCTCCCTCAACACTCCTCCCCAGGTAGCTGACCCCTTTGCCTCGCTGTGTAACCCCTACTCCCGCTCTGGACCTGAGTCCTGAGCCCCTTTTTCCCTGCTTTGTACATACTCTGGATCCAGTCTCCCATACTGGCTGTGCCTCCATCCCCTGCTTAACAAGAGAACTGTCAGAATGTAACTACAGCTGCTCACTTCTGAAGGAGCCCTGATTGGAATATCTATCAGAAAACAGGTTCTCGATTAGTAAGGAGGTCAAGGATTATGGAGAGAAGGCAGGAGAATGGGACTGAGAATCATATCAGCCATTACTAAATAGTGGAGCAGACTCGATAGTCCAAAGGGCATAATTCTGCATCTATATCTAATGGTCTTACATGAAGAGCTCTCTCAATTTGTTTTAAAAAAAATGAACAGGAGGAGTGACAATTTGCATGTGATTGCCACTCAGAGAATCTGTCCCAATACTTTTAGTTGTCCCCATGAGTCAAGGGGAGCTTGAGTGTTCATAATAAAGCTTTGAGCCTCCTTTATCTGTTGTTTCTGTTTTGTTTCCACCCTTTGACTACTTTCATCTGTTGCCTGTGGCCTGCATTTGCCATATCCTGACTTGTGCCTGTGGTCAGGAAGCAGATCAGTTCTTGTTTCTGTGTAGGTCATGGGTACCCTATGTCAATAAGGCCCAGCTTTTGAGATCAACTGGATCTTGATGTTGGGTTGCTTGTTTACTTGGGGGAAAGTGAGCACCATTGCTCTACCCTCCCCTGCTAAAATCCTGAGTAGATTTCAATGAGCTCTTGCAGAATTAGGCGAATGGTCTCATAAGCATTTGTTTCATAATATAACTATTCACTGCTGTCTTGTTGATGTGAATATTAGTGAGCTTCCTTGTATTCTCATGATGGCATTCACCAAGCTAATGCAATTAATACTGGTCTGTAGTTACATAAACCAATAGTGTCCAGTGTTAGCAATTAATGGCTAATTAGATATCATTGAATATGGCTCCTTTAAGTGCTGTGGAAAACGCTGTTCACTTTTTAATGGGGCAGGTTTTTTTTGGTTGGGAAATCAAGTTATTTCTGACTGTTAATTCTGTACCAACTTTTTAAGTCAGAGTGGTAGAACACTTGGACTAAATATGGCAAGGATTTTTCCTGCACACTCTTATGAACTACTCACCTATTAGAGAAAGTTTATAATTACAGAAAGTGGTCACTTGGCCCATTATATCATCATCTGTCTTTATATTAAATCTGATTCTATTTTAATTAATGTGATCATTGTAATTATTGTAAAATCTAGTGAAATGTGCGTCTGATGCGACTCAGTTAATAGCATCCGTCTCTTGATCATGAGGAACCAGGTTTGAGCTCCAGTCTGGGACTTGAGTACAAAAAATGATGGCTGGCACTTAGTGAAAATGTTGCACAAGATACTGTTTCAAGACATTCAACTGATGACTTATCTGCCTGCTCAGGTGGATGTAAAAGATTCCATGGAACTATTTTGAAGCAGAATAGCAGAGTTCCCTATTAATCTGGTCAATATTTATCCCTCAGTCAACATCTCAGAAAAAAAATGGCCATTATTCATATTTGGCATCATTTTTTCTTTATTGCAATAGTGACTACACTTTGTTGTGACATGTTGTGACGTGTTTTGAAATGTTCAGTGGTCATGAACAGCATTAAATAAGGCAGTGTTGTTTTTCAAATGGATGCTTTGTTCTGATTGGTGCAGGTTATGGTTATAATATGGCAACCATAGATGGGGATGTACATTCAGATCCTGACTCTGAACTTCATGATCTAAGGCAGAAGGTGAGAAATTTGGAAGAAGAGTTAACGTCTTGTAAAAGTCAGATTTACGCTTTGCAGCAAGAACAAAGTCACAGAGAGAGCTGCAATGAAAATCTTCGCAAGCAGGTAATCATTTGTCGAAAAATAACATGCAACAAAATTTAAATCAAATATGTGTTAGATTAAAAATATTTTATGCAATAAAAGTTTAAATGAGATATACTAAACAACTGTTTTATATCTGGAGTTCATCATAGTGATTACAACACAGGAAGAGGCCATTCAACATGTCATGCCCATGCTAGCCCTCTGACACCTTGCATCATCTCCTTTTGTCTTTTCCTCATTGCTATGCAAAATTTGCTTCCTAGATATTGATTAATTTCCCTTTTGAATTCCTCAATTGACTCTGCCTCCCTCACATTTTTGGACTGTGCATTCCAGATCCTAAACACTTTTTCAATAGGTTTTCTTTGTGTTACCGTTGCTACTTATACCAATTGCCTTAAATCTGTTCTCTCTGGTTATCAATCTTGCCAAGATGGATCGGCAACTTGGCACTTCTGACTGAAGATTATTGCAAATTCTTCAGCCTTGTCTTTTGCTCTTCTGCCAGTGAGTTGTTTAATTATCCACCATCCTTCAGGACTGCAGAGCTTAGATCTGATCTATTGATTGTGGAATTGTTTAGCTCTGTCTTTCACTTGCTGCTTAAGCTGTTGGGCGTGCTGGTAGTTCTGTTTGGTGATTTCACCAAGTTGATATGTCATCTTTAGATTTGCCTGGTTCTACTTCTGGTGTGCGCTCCTGCTCTCTCCTTTGAAAAGGGTTGAACCTCTGGCTTGATTGTAATAGTAGAGTGTGGGATATGCCGGACTGTGAGTTTGCACATTTTATTGAAGTATAATTCTGCTGCTGTTGATGGCTCACAGCACCTTATGGATGCCTGCTCTTGAGTTGCAAGATCTATTTGAAGTCTTTCCCACTTAACACTGCATGCTATCATATCCTTTTTTTTTTAGTTGACAAGTACATCACTATACTACATTATTGATGTATTTTTCATGCATTAGTGACTATTATTGCTGAGTGGTTGGAGGATGTTGCCGTTTTGAGATAATTATAAATATTCCATTTAAAGGAAGCTAGGTAACCACATGGTGAAGAAAGGAATAAAAGGTCGTCCTGAGCACTAATGAGAAGAGGCTTATATTGGAACATGAACTATTACAGAGACTGTTTGAGCCGAATGGGCTGTCTCTATGCCAGTAAATTCTATGTAACTGGTGTTTTTGATCAACAATGATTTTTTTTAAAAGTAGTTTTGTGATCTGCAAAGAAGTAACACCTTGTCCCATGTCTACAGGTTAAAGATCTGACTGAAAAAGTCCAAGAAGGAGACAAGGAAGAAATTGGCACAGTTGATACTGGAGTTCAGACCGATGTTTGCATTTCCCCTCATTATAAAGGTAGATGTTGAGAATTGTCCGGAGAAAATAAGACTGTTAGCAGACAGTTTTTTTTATCTGCAGCTTTCCTAATTTCATAGCTTATTTATCAGCTGATAGCAATTTGATCCATTTATAAAAGTATTGGAGATAATTCCCAGAATTGGGTCACACTTTTTTCTGGCAACTCCAGATGTGCTTGCAATGTTAACACTTTTTTTCTAAAGAAAATTGTAGCATAATTCTCTTTGGGAAAGATAGTGAAATGACTCAAATTAGACATTGTAGAAATGATAGCATCTAAATCTCATTACAATACTTTGTCTTTCTGTTTCCTAGACTATTTCCAGTATGGAGCTCTGGATTTTCATTACCACTTGAATAGTGATCAAAATGGCAGGAGCGATTTATCAAGGTTCGAAATTCGTGGAGCTTGTGGAAAAGTTCAGAATGTAATTGAGGCCTCTACTCAGTTTCAAACACAAGCACGTACAATCAGTTATACTGAACAGGCTCACACAGAGAGCCATCAGTACATAGAACAGGCTCAAACAGAAAATGTCCAAGTAGACAGTTACCAGTACATAGGATATCCTGAGAAATCAACGCACTTGGATGGATATGGAGACCATTACACTGAAAATGCAGAGGTAAGTATAGTATGTCATGATTTGAACCAGAGTCGAGGTTAAAAATATTGCTTCTAATTAGCATATGAGTATTGCTTTCCATCTGCGCCCATCAGGACAATTTGTAAGAAGTACCAGTTCAAGTAGAAATCCAAAATGTATACTGCATGAGAAGAAAGTGCTGATTGTTTAATACAGAGACCTGTTATTTGCAGATGAAAAGACGATGCATACACTGCTTCAATTTAACAAAATAGTTGACAGCAATTTGCTGGTTCATTTCTCGGGACAAATTGGAAATTCTGGCAACTTAAAATTGAAAAATAAACAAACAAAAGCAAGATATTTCTTACTGATGGAGAATAATGGGTGTGTAAATAACTGGCATACCTGTACATCTGAAATGGGATTAGCAGAGAACAAGTACTTCAGTATTAATACTTGAATGAAATAATACATAAACAGCAGCACAACTGATAGCACTATGTCTTGCACCTTAGCTCTGCAAATCAGACTGCATAGTTGTCACAGCCTTCTTCATGAAATAGTGGAGCATCTAAGATATGAGTTAATTATTTTGCCAGTGTCTGAAACTGGTTGTTTTAGCTGGTAAATACCTGTGCAAGTGCATCTTCCTGCCTTCCCTGTGCATGAATTCCTCTTCCTCCTGCAAATCCTTGACAGCACTTGGCAGAATTCTAATCACTATAGTCAGAGCAAAGATTGGCAGGTAGTGGCAGGGATAGTGCTCTGGCTGGAGGTCTGTGGAAAAATTTGGTAGTAAACGGCTAAGTGATAGAGCTATAACTGTATTAACCGTCAATAAATCTAACTTCCTTAAAAAAAAATGCCAAGTCCACCTTTAAAAATGAATGCATTTAAATAGTGGAAACTGTTAGTGTTCATTTTAAATTAATATACAGTGCATTTAGAGTTCACAGGTCAAATGATGTGGCGCTGTTGAGGGATCTGTTCTAGTTGATTACCATCTGTTTTAGATTTTAATGAGGCTTGCGTATAATGTCATTTTTGGGTCTACCTATTCCACCTTTTGTTACATGATGGCTGGTCCCCAAGTGAAATGTCAGGATTTCCAGAATGCACTTGCACAGAACATTGTATTTGAGCTACAGGCGAATTGTTATGGGGACAATTCTTTTAATTGTGGCACAATGATCATTGACATATCTAAATAGTTTTTAAGCAAATGCTTCCTTATCTGCACGCTTTATCATAGTTGACCCTAACCTACTGTAGCAATTATTGGTTGGGTAAATGGTTTTCTGTGCTCAAATATGATCACTATCACTTTCAAAATGGCCATTATTCCTTTGTAAATCCTGTTCCTTATTCTGCAAAGCTTTACTCATCTATCACTCCTATTGACTTCCCTCCTCATTTAAAATTTTTATCCTTGCGTTCAAATGCTTTTATGGTCCTTGGCTCTATGTGTCTTCTGAAGTCCCTCACAGTATTTCTGGAACTCTCCACTACTTTTCTCATATCAGCCACTGTGCTGTTAGCTGCCCAGGACCCACACAATGGAATCCTCTCTCCACATTAGTAATTCCATATATTCTCCTTGTCAGAAACAACATCTTTGCTATCATTTGAACCATTACTCCTAATGTTTCCTCTTTTGACAAATGATTGTACTTTACTCAAAATAAAACCCTGATCCCTTAGTGATAAAGCTAAAATAAAATGCACGAGTTCACCACATTTGGTGATCCAAAGGTTAAATGCATCAATACATATATTTATTTAATCTAAAACTATTTTATCTGGTCTTTCAAGGACTTGGAGAATACATCATTGGCAGACAGTTTGCGTGCTACTGCAGAAGCTGCCATGTCACAGACAGGCTTCACCTACGATGAAAGCAGTGGGATGTATTACGATTACAGTACTGGCTACTACTATGATTCGGTAATATGCATTGCTACCTCTTATTCTTAAATTAGCTTTTTGTTTCATTATTAACTTTTATTTGTAATAAGCAGGTTTTTTTACATACCTGAACTATTATTGGACTGTGTTTTATCATGAAGGTATAGTTTTTGAAAGTGATGAAATAATGATAAATTAGCACAAAATATTGGCTAGACGCATTATGAATGATGACTGGTTTTGGACAGCACTTTTATAAAAGAGAAGTGTATTGGAATCGTAATAAAGACATTTAATTTTGTAGTATGATTTGAGGATAGAAGGTTTGTTAAATTGAAGAACTGAATAAATCATGACTGTATTCACTGCAACAAAGAAAGTCAATGGCAGAATTGATTTAAATTTGTGAAAATTGAAAGATTTTTGAAAGGATTAATAATGAGCGATTTATTTCTACTGACTAGTACATTTCAAAAATTAGAAGCAAATTGAATGGTGGTTGATGTGAGATTATAAGTATTTATACAAAGAGAGAAATCAGAATATATAATGCAATGTAAGTGGTCATCGAAGTAGACTCAATAACAACAATTAAGGTAAGCTTAGAAAAATGCTTCCAAATTGAAAAGAATTATACAACCAAAAAGAGACCTCTTGACACATCTCGCCTGTTCTTTGAATTAGTCCAACTCCACTGCATTGTAATTAGAGTCTTAGAGTTATACAGCACGGAAACAAATCCTTCGGTCCAACTCGTCATTGCTGACCAGATTTTCTATGCAAATCTAGTCCCATTTGCCAACATTTGGCCCATAAGCCCTTCCTATTCATATATCCATCCAGATGCCTTTTAAATGTAGTAATTGTACCAGCCTTCACTAATTCCTCTGGCATCTCATTCCATACATGCACCACACTCTGCGGGAAAAATTTGACCCCAGGTCCCTTTTATTTCTTTCCCCTCTCACCTTAAACCTATGCCGTCTAGTTTTGGAATCCCCCATCCCAGGGAAAAGACCTTGCCTATTTACAATATCCATGCCCTTCATGACCTTATAAACCTCTGTAAAGTCACCCCTCAGCCTCTGACGTTCCAGGGAAAATAGCCCCAGCCCATTCAGTCTCTCCCTATAGCTCAAACCCTCCAACCCTGGCAGCAGCCTTGTAAATCTTTTCTGAACCCTTTCAAGTTTCACAACATCCTCCCTGTAAGAGGGAAACCAGAATTGCACAAAATACTCCAAAAGTGGCCTAACCAATGTCTTATACAGCCGCAACATGACCTCCCAATCCCTGTACTCAACGCACTGATCAATAAAGGTAAGCATACCAAACGCCGCCTTCACTATCCTGTCTACCTGTGACTTCACCTTTAACGAACTATGAACCTGCACTCCAAGGCCTCTTTGTTCAGCATCGCTCCCCATGGCCTTACCATTAAGTTTGTAAGTCCTGCCCTGATTTGCCTTTCCAAAATGCAGCACGTGACATTTAGAACATAGAACATAGAAAAGTACAGCACAGTACAGGCCCTTCAGCCCACAACGTTGTGCCGAACTTTTACCCTAAACCTAAGGTCTATCTAACCTCCACCGTTACCTTATACTATCGTCCATGTGCCTATCTAATAGCCGCTTAAATGCCCCTAATGAGGCCGACTCCACTACCCTCTCCGGCTAAGTTAGTCTAATTTATCTAAGTTAAACTCCATCTGCCACTCCTCAGCCCATTGGCCCATCTGAGCAAGATCCCATTGTACTCTGAGGTAACCTTCTTCGCTGTCCACTGCACCTCCAATTTTAATATCGTCTGCAAACTTACTAACCATACCTCCGATGTTCATATCCGATTCATTTATATAAATGATAAAAAGCTGTGGACCCAGCACCAAACCTTGTGGCACACTGCTGGTCACAGGCTTTCATTCTGAAAAGCAATCCTCCACCACCAACCTCTGCCTTCTATCTTTGAGCCAGTTCTGGATCAAAATGGCTAGTTCTCCCTGTATTCCATGTAATCTAACCTTGCTAAGCAGTGTCCCACGAGGAACCTTGTTGAAAGCCTTACTGAAATCCATATAGATCACATTCACAACTCTGTCCTCATCAATCCTCTTCATTACTTCATCAAAAAATTCAATCAAGTTAGTGAGACACAATTTCCCATGTACAAAGCCATGTTAACTATCCCTAATCAATCCTTGTCTTTCCAAATATGGTAAATCTGGTCCCTCAGGATTCCCTCCAACAACTTGCCCACCATCGATGTCAGGCCCACCGGTCTGTACTTCCCTAGCTTTTCCTTACCACCTTCCTTAAATAATTCATTGCTTGCTAATTTCTCCATGTCACCCCTGGCTGTTTTGGTCAATTATTTTAAATCTGTGTCCTCCAATCATTAATCTTCTTGCCAAAAGAACTATTCTTACGTATCTATTAAAACCCCTATAATTTTGAACACTACTGTTAAATAAAACAGATTGTTGTACATTCATAACTCCACTTAATTTCAAATTTAGATGTATTGGCCATTTTAAAACAAAAGATAACAATTTAAAACATTGTTAAATATTGTGCCAGTGCATTTCTCTGATAGCTCAATGACTTACAACAGTAACTGAATTATATATACCAGAAAGGTCCTAGGACTGATTGGCAAAATTGACCCTTAATCTGTTTTCTAAGCTGGTAAATTAGGGTTATGACACTGCAGTTGGGATCAGCAACTTTGGTTAGAGAGGAAAAAATTGGCCAAGATTCTATTACAGATTGTTATTCACTAAGCACTTTTGGATTCATGTATTTGAATGTTACGCAAAGGAAGAAGCAGTTGGGCTGTGCTGTTTCACAATTATAAGAATTTGCTGTCTGTCCGAAAGCTCAAACCAGCATGAAACTGTAGATCAAAACTTTCAGGAGAGGTATGCTAAAGATAAAAAGTAAATAGAAAATAATTGATTGTTAATTAAATTAATATTCATCCTTTAAACATTCCCTCTTCAATTTTTTTTTTCTCTCTCTTACTACCTCTGGCCCCTTTCCAGCAGAAGAAAAAAGTTGCTTGTTCTCTGCTAATTCGACTTGATGTATTGGTATGACTACAGTTTACACACCCATTGTTCTCCCCAGTATTACCAGAAGTTTTCATTTGGGATCACAAGCTTCTGTTGTGTTCACTTCCAGACATAGACTTGCCTATTAGCATTCAGCAGTGAAGCATACTGTGCATCAGTACGATGTGAGCTGTCCTTTGTTTCAGTTTCCTTGCGTCCACTGTATAGCTTATGTGTGTGTGTGTGTGTGTCTTATATTAAAAAACAAACCCTTGAACATTGGTGGGAACATTGTCATTTTCACTTTATTTTCGTATTGTGAATTGTCCTGTGTGTGAGATGAAAAGCTTCAACAAAAAATCTTTTTCAGCAATACTCAAGTTCTGTACTGCCGAGTGACTATATATTATGCTTGGAAATAAATCGTACATTAAGAATTTATGGCTAAACCTTTTTATGTTCCTAAGGCAAACCAACTCTACTATGACCCAAACACTGGAATTTACTATTATTATGACACTGAGAGTGGCCTGTATCAATTTCATTCTCGTGTGGATCTGCTGTCGTACCCTGCCACTGAAACGGAGAAAAAAGTTAAGAAAAAACGAAAAGGAATGGCAAAGTTTCTTTCAAAGAAAGAGAAGAAGGTATCTTGCATTTAGTTATCCTTACTGCAGCTGAAATTAATATTGAAGTGCACTTTAGCCCACACATACTACATGTCAGAGGAAGAAACTCTTAAGATCCAAGTGGTTTCCTGTACACTACCATGCTATATATGACTATGGTTAACAGTGAGAATGAAGGTCTTAAGTTACAGTAGGATATAGATAGATTGGTCAGATGGGCAGATCAGTGGCACATGGAATTTAACCCTGATAATTGTGAAGTGATGCAAGAGACAAGATAGATGGCAGGACACGAGGAAGCTTAGAGGAGCAGAGGGATCTTGGGTTGCTTGTCCACAGATGTCTGAAGGCAGCAGGACAAGTTAATAGGATAGTTAAGAAGGCATATGGGACACTTGCCTTTATCAGTTGTGATATGGATTATAAGAGCAGAGAGGTTTTGTTAGAGCTGTACAAAACTTTGGTTAGGCCACATCTGGAATACTATGTGCAGTTCCAGTCAACACCCAATAGGATGAATGTGATTGTACTGTGGAAGTGCAGAGGAGGTTCACCAGGACGTTGCCCGGAATGGAGTAGTTTCGCTATAAAGAGAGGATAAGCTCAGGTTGTTTTCTTCTGAGCAGAGAAGGCTGAAATGGACTTAATAAAGGTGTGTAAGATTGAGGGGCATGGACAGGGTGGATAAAAAGCATCTGCCTCCCTTAGTTGAAGGGTCAGTAAGAAGGGGGCATAATTTTAAGGTAATTGGCAGGAGGAGGAGCAAATGCTGGAATGTGGGACTAGAGCAGATTTATGGCTATGGATTTGCAAGACTGAAGGGCCTCCTGTACTGTGTATAATTCTAAACTCATTTTGGCATTTTATTTCATTAATTCATTGATGTGGGCTTTGTTAACTAGGCAAACATTTATTGCTCGTTCCTACTTTCCCTTGAGAAGATAATGGTGAGCTGCCACCTTAAACCACTACTGTTCATATGATGTAGGCACACCCACAGTGTTGTTAGGGAGAAGTTCCAGAATTTTGAACCATAAACAGCAAAATGAAACGGTATTTTTCCAAGTCCGGACAGTATTTGACTTGGAGTGAAATCTGTAGGTTGTGTTCCAATGTACCTGCTGCCCTTGACCTACCAAGTGGTGGTGGTGGTTGGTTTGGAAGATACTATTGAACCTTGCTGAGTCGCTGCAGTACTTTTTGTAATCATGCACACAGCTGTCACTGTGCACCAATTGTCAATGAAGTGATATTTAAAATGGTGGATGTGAGATCATTTAAGCAGGCTGCTTTATCCTGTGTAGTGTTGAGCTTCTTGAGTGTTATTGGAGTCGCATTTATTCAGTCAACTGAAGTCAGTCTCATCGTAGTCCTGAATTGTGCTTTGTAAGTGGTGGACAGGCAATCAAACCATGAGTTACTTGCAGAATTTCCATCTTTTGATCTGTCCTTGTAACCACCGTATATTTGACAGATCCAGTTCACTTTTGATCAATGGTAACCCTACGAAGATGTTGATAGGGATTCCATAAGTTGTTTCAGATACTTGTCATGAAGTTTCAGATGGCCTAGCTGTGGGAATATCTCGGAAAGTATTATGCACTGCTTTCTATCAAACAACAGTGCCACTAGATGGTCATTAGATAAAGAGTGAGCATGTGCTGGACAAGCTGCGGATGATAGGAATTCCTTACAAGAAATATGGTGAACTTATGATAAAGTAAATAAATGGCAGTCTCCTCCTGAACATAGCATGATTGCACATCTTACTCCCTTAACGGTTGCACAGTCTTTCCTTTCCGCAATCACGGTAAGCACTAAACCTTAAATGTAAGAATCATGTTCTCATACTTGAACAACAATTTAAACAACTTTTAGTTAAGTTTTGCACAATCATTGTTTGAACCTGATGACATTATAGCCAGCAGGAACTTAATCAAAAACGTATTTTAGTTCTCCCCATCTGTCTTCAGATGTGCCTTTGCTGGACAACGTTTTTGAGTAAAAAAGCAGCTAGCAACTTTTGGAGATGATTCGTACATGCCACGTAAAATCATTAATGCTAAACTGAGACTTGATCACAGTAACTATTTATTTCAGCTTTTAAAGGAGTTATTTGTATTTTTAATTTTTCCATTGTATGCTATTTTCTTGGATGTGTATGGCATTTTATAAGATCACAAGAAATAGGAGCGGGAGTAGGCCATTCAGACCATTGAGCCTTAATTTAGCCTTCTCTGCCATTTTGAAAGACCTTGCCTGATCTGTTTTTGGCCTCAACTCTACTTTCTTGCCTGTCCCCTTGACTCCCTTGTTGATAATTTTTTTTGGGGGTAAGAACAGGTGTGCAGCTTCCTTCAGGGCTAATAACAATGCTTCCTGTAGCCGAACACCAGGAAATGCCTGGGTCTGTCCAACTGTGATTTGTCTTTTCAATTAAGGCGGTCTAGAATCCATGTTGCAGTGCCTGTGGCAATGAGCATTAATGGACTAATATACTGCCAGGGCCTTTTGGTTTTTCTTAATGTTCAGCTACTCATTAGATTCTGTTCCTCCTGTCCTCAGCTGCTGCAAATGACAGAATCAGTGGCTAAATTGAAGATTTCTTCTTTGGGATGGTCAGAATCAGCAACAGGTAGACTAATTACTAAGAAATAGATTTCTCCTACAGTGCCCTAAAATGGGTACTGATGGAACTAAAACCATTAATTATATATACACATCAAATGGAATTCGAAAGTGCCACACCCTAAATATTACAACGCTTAGTGACAGGTGTTATGCAGAGGTGTGTAATGCTATCTTTGAGGCAAAGCCCTCCCTCTGCATTCTTATTCTGTTACTTACTTATTGTTTGCTGACCTTTATCTTGAGTTCAGCATTGAAATCTTGATGTGAAACCAAAAAAAAATCATGAAAACTGTCTCATGCAGTGAAGATAGTACGAACTGCCGATGCTAGAGAATCTGAGATAACAAGGTGTAGAGCTGGATGAACACAGCAGGCCAAGCAGCATCAGAGGAGCAGGAAAGCTGATGTTTTGGGTCGAGAAGAAGGATCTCGACCCGAAACGTCAGCTTTCCTGCTCCTCTGATGCTGCTTGGCCTGCTGTGTTCATCCAGCTCTACACCTTGTTATCTCATGCAGTGAAATTTGTTGAGGCAGGTATACAGAATTATTAAAGGCTTCTTGAGACCAAAATTTAGAGCCACTGCTGAGATTTTAAAGAAAGACTGTAAATAAAGTTCAAGGACCTTAAAAATTACTGTTATGATTTCATTTTACATAGGCAAATCAAAGTGTATGTTCCCTTGTAAAGTGGAGTTTTGGTTGGGCAGAGGTGGATGGGAAATATTTATTTGACAACAGATCTTTCGCAGAAGATAGCTGCAAAAGAGCTGAATCACCCTAAGCTCAAAGTTAAAGAGAATAATTAGGACCTGCCAAATAATTTCAAGATTTCCAACTTCTCAATATTTTGCTTCAGCATATTGTCTAGTAAATTACTTGCATGGTGCTACCTAATAATCGCTGAAACAGTTGGAAGAATTATATTATCGAGAGAGGAGAACATTTATTCAAATGAGACCAGATTTACACATTCAACTCATTTTATTCTCGCAACAGCCTCATTCTCGGTAGCTTGGGTCCTAGTCCATCTTGTGCAGTACACTGGTCTTAAGTCGTTTAGCCATGCTACCTTTGTTTAAAATTGTGTACCAGCGGGATACCAAAATTTAAAAACGCTAGATCAATTTGTCACTTGGTGACCTATCTTTCTTTCTAAATTAAGAACAAAAACCTGTTCAAATTATGGATTTATATTTTTGAAAGCTGTCAGCCATCTTGTATTACTATTGTATTACAGTCTGCACTGCTGTCTTGTTCAACACTCGCCTACTCCTTCCAGTTGCAAGGCTTAAGCAGATCCCTGCTGCAGATCAAATAACTCTATAGTTACAAATAAATCAGAATGAAACAGACCTACCCAGAACATGTGTCAGTGTCAAAAAAGTAAAATGTGGAAAATACACAACAAGTCGGACACTATTGTCAATAAAATGTGATGAATTATCACAACCTCTCTCTACATACATATGTATGGATATGTTATTAGGAGTGTCACAATTTATTGGGCTTATTTTTATGAATTCAGTGCATCCTTGTATACAAAGCACCCATTTTCCTTTCCAGATGAAATAACTGTTTACTGTTCTTGGAATACTAAAATAGTCAAATAAATGAGTTAACTTGTTGATGCAGCATGCTTTCAGAACAGACTTTACAACTAATAAAAAAGCATTGGAAATGCCTGTTGTTAAAGACCTAAAAATTAGGTATAAAGCTTTTGAACATCACGAGTCTCTAGTTTTTCTGACTTGACTTTTAAGCTGAGAATTTCTTTTTGTTATTCATATTTACTTACTTTGCCATAACTTTCAATTTTCTATTGTTTATTCATGGGATGTAAGGATATAGGCATTTGCTGGCAAGGCGCTAAAAGCCCTTGAAGTGGTGGTGAACTGCTGTCTTGAACTGCTGTTGTCCGTGTGGTGTGGGTACACCCATGATGTTTTTAAGGATAGAATTTGAGCTTGAACCAACAATTGTGAAGGAATGGCAATATAGTTTAAATTTAGGATGGTGTGTGATGAAGGGAAATCTGCATGTGGTGTTCTAGTGTTGCTGTTGCCTTTGTCGTTCTGTGCAGTACAGGTCCTGGTTTGGAAGGTATTATTGAAGGAGGTTTGGCGAGTTACTGCGTTGTGTCTTGTGAACTATGCACACTGCTGCCACTGTGCATCAGTAGTGGAGGAAGTAAATGTTTGTAGTTGATGGCGTGTTAGTGTCATTTCTGTGCATCATTCTTTGTTGTTGAAATCTTGTCTCTGTCTCTAAATTCACTCCAAAATTTCCAAGGGATCGGGACCTTTTTAAAGTTTTGAAGTGTTACTTGTCATTGACAAAAATCATAAAAACACTTGGAAGACAGGCCCTTAAAATTTTGATGTTTTTATTTCTTCTAAGGACACTGAAGCTGATGTACCAAAAGCTTCAAGTATTTGCAGGTGCTGTGACCCAGAACAGAGCAAGATATTGTCAGAAGAACCAGCAAACAAACGAAAAAAAACAGTAGTGGAGGAGATTGAACAGGACTCACTCAATGAGCATAATCCAAATGATGGGTCTATCTTTCATGAAGATGATGTTGAAGCGAAATTGGAAAAGAAGGAAGAGGTGGGAGTTGGAAGTGAGCCAGAAGAAGGAGAAATTACAGACTCGGATAAAAGTGATCATCCTACAGATGAAGAGACAGAAGAGTCAAGTGAAGATCAAGATGAAAGTGAGAAAGAGGATGGTGAGTGACAGGTTTACTGTATGCCTGAATTTGTATAAAGTCAGATGCAAAAGTCACAGTTACACAGATGTGGCTCAGGCGTGTGGATACTTTTAATCACATAGGAATAAGCAAATTTTCACCTCCAATCTACTTGATGTGATGCAGCTCTGTGCCTGTCTGCTGCTTACTCTATACTGTCCAGAAGACGTAATGTTGCTCCCATGTATCCTGGATCATCTAGATTAGCGTAAATAATTAGGACTATCCTGATATTCAGATAACATGCCATTTGCCTTTCTTTATCTGAAACAATATAAATACAATTATAGTGTTTACCTTTTTCCAGTGTTCAAAATTTTGAATATTATTTAACGTATTCCGTAGGTTGCTTGGTCTTTGCCCATGCATATTCATGAAATATGCATGTTCTGAAAAATATGCATATTTTGTTTTGTGCTTGGAAATCATTCAGCCTTGTAGGCTGTTCAGGCAGCTTCTTGGAACCTAGAGTACCTCCCTCCAAGCTGATGCATTTGGAGTGGCTGCATTTCAGTAACTGCAAGTGATCTTTCTGTACCTTTGCAAGGATTATTGGCTTCGAAATAGTCTCTGATTCTGTTATAAGCATAAAACAACATTTATTCTGTTTCTTTGAACCATTGTTTCTCAACAGCATGTATAGCCTATGCAATGTACTTGTGTTTGCCATGCAGATTTAATTTTTGCGTTATACCTTGATCTGGAATACATTTCAATCTCCAATTTGACATGTGTTTTGACCTTTCTTCCTTCCTTGTTTGAATGATTGAAGGTTCATATTTTCTGAAAGGATTGCTGTAGTAGCTTTTGACTGCATGCATCTTAACTGTTCTATACAGCTGCATTTGCTTGCCAGTGCAATGAGTATGGTTTAAAAAAAGACAATTTGAATCAAATATTTGAGCAGGTTCTTTGCACATTACACAGCTGTGTCAACCTTAGCATCACTTGCTATGTGAGCAAATTGATAAATTCCTTGGGAAACAACAAAATTTATACCATAAAATTGTGGTCTGGAATTTATTCAAATATTGATTTCAGTTGGTCCACAGTTAAGGTTGTCAATCTGCAGATATTGTTTCCGGACCTCCAGAAATTAAAGATTAATTGTCTGGACACTTTCTAGTAGTGTAGGAGAAAAATCATGTGACTACTTTAATGAAAAAGCTCACTTTCGGTATCTGTTTTACTTATAAAAATAATAAAAATATTGGAGAAAGGAAACTGCTGTAGGAGGTAGGAGATCATGTGATGAAACTTCAGGAATAGGTCCACTCTGTGTCTGCAGTCCTATCTGCAGCATGTTGACAGTTAATTCAGATTATCATCAAATCTGAAATTGAAAATTAGTCTTTGTGATGGTCAATGCCACACGTCTGTGCATGCCCCTTACATTCTGCACACATCATTTGGTGTGCCAGTGCAATCGCAGCATTGACTTCTACTTCTGGAAGTTCCTGCCACACATGGACCTTGAGTGACTGGAGGAGAAGGCTCCACAAATCTTGCCATCTCAATGACGGAAGAGCCCAGCACATCAGTGCAAAAGATGATAAGGCTGAAGAATTTGCATCCAACTTCAGCTAGAAGTGCCGAGTGGATGATCCTTCTCAGCCTCCTCCAGTGGTCCCCAGCATTACAGGTACCAATCTTGAGCCAATTTGATTCATGCTACACGATATCAAGAAACGGTTGGAGACACTGGTTGCTGCAAATGCTATGGACCCTGACAACATTCCACCAATAGTACTGAAGACTTGTGCTCCAGAACTTGCCGCTCCTCTCGCCAAGCTGTTCCAGTACAGTTACAACACTGGCATCTACCCGACAATGTGGAAAATTGCCCAAGTATGTCCTGTACTCAAAAAGCAGAACAAATCCAACCCGGCCAATTACCACCCCATCAGTCTCCTCTCGATCATCAGTAAAGTGATGGAAAGTTCATCAACAATGCTATCAAGCAGCACTTGCTCAGCAACAACCTGCTCAGTGACGCCCAGTTTGCGTTCCACCAGGGCCACTCAGCTCCTGATCTTATTACAGCCTTGGTTCAAACAAGGACAAAAGAGCTGAATTCCAGAGGTGAGGTGAGAGTGACAGACCTTGATATCAAGGCTACATTTGACCGAGTGTGGTGGCATCAAGGAGCCCTAGCAAAACTGGAATCAGTGGGTATCAGGGGGCAAACTCTCCAGTGGTTGGAGTCATACCTGACACAGGAATATGGTCGTTGTTGTTGGGGGTCAATCATCTCAGCTCCAGGACATCTTTGCAGGAGTTCCTTTAAGTAGTGTCCTTGGCCCAACCATCTTCAGATGCTTCATCAATGACCTTCCCTCCATCATAAGATCAGAAGTGGGGATGTTCGCCGATGATTGCACAATGTTCCTCACCATTCGTGACTCCTCAGGCACTGAAGCAGCCCATGTTCACATGCAACAAGATCTGGACAATATCCAGGCTTGGGCTGACAAGTGGCAAGTGACATTTGCGCCACACAAATGCCGGGCCATGATCATCACCAATAAGAGACAATCTAACCACTGTCCCTTGACATTCAATGGTGTTACCATCACTGAATCTCCCACTATCAACATCCTGGGGGTTACCATTGACCAGAAACTCAACTGGACTCACCACATTAACACAGTGGCTGCAAGGGCAGGCCAGAAGCTAGGAATACTGTGGCAAGTAACTCCTTCCTGACTCCTCAAAGTCTGTCCGTCATCTACAAGGCACAAGTCAGGAGTGTGATGGAATGCTCCCCACTTGCCTGGATGAGTGCAGCCCCAACAACACTGAAGAAGCTTGACACCATCCAGGACAAAGCAGCCCGCTTGATTGGCACTACATCCACAAGCATTCACTCCATTTACCACTGACGCTCAGTAGACCAGTGTGTATAATTTACAAGATGCACTGCAGAAATTCACCAAAGATCCTCAGACAGCACCTTCCAAGCCCATGATCACTTCCATCTAGAAGGACAAGGGCATCAGATATATGGGAACAACACCACCTCCAAGATCCCCTCCAAGTCCCTCACCATCCTGACTTGGAAATATATCGCCGTTCCTTCACTGTCGCTGGGTCAAAATCCTGGAATTCCCTCCCTAATAGCATTGTGGGTCAACCCACACAGGAGGACTGCAGCGGATCAAGAAGGCAGCTCACCACCACCTTCCCAAGGACAACGAGGGATGGGCAAGAAATGCTGGCCAGCCAGCAACACCCATGTCCCACAAACGAATAGCAAAAAAAATGACTTGGAAATTCAACTGGTACAAATGTGGTGTAATGCTGCTAATCTTGCGTGGATCTCCAGCATTGTTGTTACTCTGGGTATTTGCGAAGGTAATGTACTGTTTTTGTTTGTTGAAAGTTTAAATATTCTTCTGCACGGATTATGCAGCTGGCATTTAAATCAGAAGGAAATAAAACAGGAATGCAGCCTGTAACTTACACTTCATTTATTTGGTGTTGGTGGTGAACGCAATAGTGCAAGTGGTTAGTATAATCTGGCTGTGCTCACACCTCTAGAAGATATTCACCTCTTTGACAGAGAGCCTTGTTATAGTGCTAAGCAGGGTTTCAAATCCTAGCATGCATGTGGTGGAATAACTTTGATGAATTGTGAATCAGCACTTGGGGGAAAAATGACCACAAATACTGTTAAACTGATGCAAAATCCTGATTTGTTCACTAATACCCCAGGCTGGCCTGCGTGTGACCCTAATCCACCACCATGTGGTTGATTATTCATATCCCTGAGGCATGAATAATGTGAATCAATATTGCTTGTTCACACTCATTCAAGAAAAATATATTTTAATAATTACAAAATTTTATGTTATACTTGATATATATCAATGCAGGACATTTGCAACCTTTTTCCAAGTACAGGACAGTTTTCAAATCTTGCAGTTATGTGAAAAATATCATCTTTTGCCTTTTCTTGACTGAGATACATTTTCAGTACAACACACAGAGCCACTGTTACATCTGTTATTAGCTTCAATAACTCCAATATTTTCTGCTGAATCACTTAATAAATTTCTAAAACTACAATTTTCTCAAATGTCACTAAGGACGGTGAAACTCTTCCTCCATTATAGGCGAATAACAAAGGAGCTCCACCACTGCTTATAATGGAACTCAGAAAAGCAGGGTGTATAATTCTGAATTGTGCCTTTTGTTTATACATCAAATACTCAGTAGAAAGCTGTGAAATGCCATATTTATCGCATCAGTAATTTACCTGAGATTCACCTTTTGGATGATATTCCCCTTTATTACCACCTTGATGGATGGGAGCGGTCAGAGTGGAGGGGTATTAGATAATGAAATAAAGTGAACATACACCTGGAACACACTACATATATGCCTGACCTGACTCTTACATTTTGTTTTGAAATCTTATTTTTTAAGATCTGCAATATTTTGTTGTAGTTCAATGTACAGCAGCCTTGTCTTGCTAAATATGCAGAACCTTCATATGATTATGATGAAAAATATCACAAACTCTTAATTTGAACCTAGTATGAATGTGTTGTACTTCCATAAAGTTTATTATGAAGGTTTTGATTTTGAAACCATTAAGGTAATCAATTTCTGTCCTAATCCATATTACTTTCTAATGTATAGGTCAGCTGTGGCCTCCATGTATTCGTGTGATGGTGGTGCGATCACCAGTTCTTGAACCCGGTACACTCTTCATCATCACTGCAGTGAAGTCAGCTACAATTGGAAGGTATCGTAGATAATATTATAAACCTTGGTTGCTGCTATGCCAGTTAAGCAAGAATATAGTCAAAAGGTCAACTATTAGTTTTTTTCTAAATTACATTTTTTATATTTGCAAGCTTTTTCGATACACCACTTCTAAAATGTCTGCTTCAGAATGGAGTGCATCTAATAGCTTCACAAATATTCAGATAATGGTAGAGCTGCTTGTTTTCCAGTTCCAGCAAAGAGAGAGACTTGTGTAGAACGTTTTATGATTTCAGGGTGCATCAAAGTGCTTTATGGCTAAATAAATGCATCTTGAAATATTGTCATCGTTTTGCTACTGCATGCAAAACTTTGGCATAGTTATAAGTGATTTTATTTGTATCATTTTAAGTTGCAAATTGTTCGTGCTCCAAAGCTGTTGATTCAAATACCTTTTAAAATATACTATGATGGAGAGCATATTATTACTGTCTGCAAAGGGTCCTACCTATGCTCATATAGCAAGTTGCTATATATGAGCAAATTTCCCTTATTCATCATTTTCTTCCTCAAGTTCATCTTCCACTGACGAAGTTACCTCTCATTCAATCAGCTCTGATCTTGGCCACATGGTGCTCATTGGGTTTTTTTGTGTGTGTTTGCTTAGTTTTTTCCCCATTTCAGTTCCCTTCAAGAGAAAGCTATTGCAGTTTTATGATAAGACCTGAAATAATGGTTGAATAGAACAAATATAAATATGGTGGCTTGAATGCCAGTGTAAGGATATGAATTATCAAATGCAGTATTTTTGTTTCGTTCAAGAAACCAACGGGGTTTCAGTACAGTTTGTCCATTTTGAACAAGTCTGGCATATTTATAATTTTGTCCTTGTCTTTACTATTGAGCTCACCAATGATAGATTTCTCAAGGGAATAGACCCTATGGGCATCACTTATATAGTCATAGAGTTATACAGCATGGCAACAGACCCTTCAATCCAACTCATCCGCTATCCTAAACTGATCTAATCTCATTTACCAGCATTTGGTCCATATCCCTCTAAACATTTCCTATTCATATACCCATCCAGATACCTTTTTAAATGTTGTAAACCCAATCACTACTTCCTCTGGGTGCTCGTTCCATACACGTACCACCCTCTGCATGAAAAACTTACCCCTCAGGTCCCTTTTAAATGTTTCCCCTCTCACCTTAAAACTGTACCCTGTAGTTTTGGACTCTCCTACCCTAGGAAAAAGACCTTGGCTATGCACCCTCATGATTTTGTAAACTTCTATAAGGTCACCCCTCAGCCTCCGATGTTCCAGGGAAAAAAGCCCAAACTTTTCAGCCTCTCCATATAGCTCAAACCCTCCAATCCCGGCAACGTCCTTGAAAATAATTTCTTAGCTCTTTCAAATTTAACAATATCCTTCCTATAGCAGGGAGACCAGAATTGAATGTAGTATTGTGAAAGTGGCCTCACCAATGTCCTGTACAGCCGCAACATGACGTCCCAACTCCTGTATTCAGTGCACTGACCAATAAAGACAAGCGTGCCAAACACTTTCTTCACCACCCTGCCTATCTGCGACTCCGCTTTCAAGGAACTATGCACCTGCACCCATAGGTCTTTTTGTTTAGCGACATTCCCCAGGACCCAACCATTAAGTGTATAAATCCTGCCCTGGTTTGCCTTATCAAAATGCAACACCTCATGTTTATCTAAATTAAACTCCGCCTACCACTCCTTGGCTCATTGGCCCATCTGATCAAAGTCCCACTGTACTCTGAGATAACCTTCCTCCTGTCCACTACAACTACTTTGGTGTCATCTACAAACTTCCTAACCATACCTCCTATAATCACATCCAAATAATTTATATAAATGACAAAAAGCAGTGGACCCAGCACCGATCCTTGTGACACACCGCTGGTCACAGGCCTGCAGTCCAAAAAACAACCTTGTACCACCACCCTCTGTCTTCTACCTCCAAGTCAATTTTGTATCCATTTAGCTAGCTCCCCCGGATTGCATGTTATTTAACTATTTTACCATGTGGAACCTTGACAAATGCCTCACTTGTTTAATATACATTTGAGCACTTTGAGACTTGTTATTTTTTATCAACCTGTTTGGACATATTATGAGACCCTTCTGGAGAAGGTGGAACTTGAAGCCTGACCTTCTGGCAGGCACATCACCACTGCACCATAAGACCCTTTTTGTTTTCAGGCAAATTTGTTCACACAACGCTTAACATTTAACAATCTTAATTGAAATGAATGCCTACAGCACATGTTCCTTACTATGATTCTGTATCAAGGTACCCTTGTACCTAAAATGGCACTATAAGTGGCAACTTGTAAACGTTTCACTGTATTCATGAATACATGTGACAATAAACCTAATTCAAATTCAAATTAATCTATAAAGCCTCCAAGGAGGTCTTTGAATAGTTAGGCATTATTGCACCAAAGTACGTTCCACGCTGCCACCTATAGTGGAATGAGAGAAGGAAGCAGTTTTGGGATCGAGTTTACACATCACTGGAGAGAGCAAATGGAATGTTTGTTTCTTTTTTAATGGGATTCTTTATATTCGACAGAGAGAAGGATATGGACCACACAATTCAAATTGCTGAAATTGGTGTTAGTAAGGTTAGTTATAAAATCACATTAAACTGTAAAAGATGAAAATAGAATGTGTGAAAAAGAAAAAATTTACATCTGAATATGTGACAGATTTAACATGTTTTGTTGTTGAATACTTTGTATGTTCTCTATAATAAAATGTGATTTTTCCCAGAACTTACTGTTCAGTGCGATTTTAATTGCCTACCTCTAGCCTAACAGTCCTGGGAATTGCAGATATATTCTTAGTACCATTCTATTTCCTATTATAGAGCACGTTTCCGTATTGTTTAGTATAATAGCATGCTGATCTTTGTAGTTTTATTTTCCTCACATGCTAATTTCTGTTTTCTTTAGTTTCATGCTGAAGTATACTTTGACCAAGATCTACAGGAATACATGTTGGTAGACCAGGGGAGCCAGAATGGGACTGTGATCAATGGGAACAGAATCCTCATGGTATGATTGTTACTATAATCAGTTAGTAAGATCTTTTCCTGACCGTCCTCACATTTGGATTGTGGGGGACTGATCATTTTTCATGTTAACTTAAAATGAGATGAAGGTTTGTTCTGAGAAAGCTGTTCTGTGCAGCAGTCTAACATGGCTTTAAGAACCCAGTTTTTCACTTGTCCATATCACTGCATTAATGTATATAAATAAATTATCCACACAAGATGCGTTTATTATTCATGTGCTTTTATTCATTTTGGCACTCCTGCATAAGTTGTTACAGTTAAATGTTTAACTCGACCCAGTGCCCCAATACCTTCCTACCTAATCTTCAGAAAATCCTTCATCAATGTATAGAGGTCTCTGCACATGTGATCACAGTGACAGTAATTAAATTCAGCTTTGCTTTGTGAGCAAACCTTCAAGTACACTTTAGGGAATGGCCTGCAGAAAATAATCTGATACAAGATTCTAGTTCAAACAATAATTGGCAAAAAAGCACTAATTTTCAAACTGAGCATAAGCTGATCTTCTGACTGTGGTTGACCTTGTCGTGTCCAACTTCCTTGAAACGGCGCAGCCATAACTTCCTACGTGACTGAATATTATCTGTCGTATATTTTGGTGCTCTAAACTAAAGCAAGATAACTTATCAAGTTAAACCTATCACCCTTTAACTATTTCCTAACCAGAGCATTCAGGATTGCTTTGGTAGAAGTTTGATGCATGTGATAAAAATATGGAACAGCAGAATCTGATGTTTTTCATGTGGAAGGGTGGGGGGCAGGATATTGCTGGTACACTGAGGCCAGTACAATGCAAAACCATTCATTTAACTTACACATCCAGATTTTTGGAATTGTTTCTTAATTTCAGCCTTTGAATTAATATAATGATTGAAGGGGAGTAGTTCTCTACTAACTGTCTTGTTTAATCAAATGATAATACCATCTCTTGGTTATTTCAGATTTGTGGATATTATTCAAAACTACATCATTTTAAATTTTAAAAAACTCCTAAGGAGTTCAGTTCTGAAGAAGGGTCGCTGGACCCAAAACATTAACTCTGCTTTCTCTTCACAGAAGCTGCCAGACTGTTGAGTTTTCCCAGCAATTTCTATTTTTCTGATTTACAGCGTCTGCAGTTTTTAGGTTTTTTTTTCATTTTAAATTAAGTCTGTTTAGTATTCATTGCATTCAAATGCTCTACATCTCCACTATTCTATATTTTTTTAATTGCAGAAGAAATCAAAGCATAGTTAGTATCTACTGGTTAGCTATCAATTTAGTGTTCATTTTCTTTCAGCCAAAAAATAAATGTGATCCTCATAGATTGGAGCATGGTGATGAAGTGAAGTTTGGGGAGACTGTATTGTCTTTCCATATCCATCCAGGTACTGACACATGTAATGGCTGTGAGCCAGGCCAGGTTAAAGCTCACCTGCGTCTCCATAAAAAAGAAGAATTGACAGGTATTTGAATATATTTGTTAAACTGTTATTGCTTTGTCTATCTCCATTCTTATTCTGAAACTAATGAATCAAATTCAGTAATGACTGGTAAATCTCTAATTACACTCAGTATTATCCTTCCTTTGCCTGTTAACTGAACTAGCAGGAATGTGTATATCTAGTTGGATTTATGCTGAGTCATATTTGACTTGAACTGTCTGCTGCTATATAAAAGATTAACCTGTACAGTAAGAGAAAGAACTGTGTGTCTGTTCTTGTTCTCTATTGATATGCTGCACTCAGTTGCAGCTGGAGAGTGCATGCTGATCTGCACAGCTACAGATAGTGTCACATCACAGGTTTGAAGCTACACTGACATATTTGCAGAGATGAATGATCTCAATTCTTCTCCCTAATATGTTATTATCTGTGCAAAATTCATTGCCACTATTGACCTGGAATATCTCATGTACATGTAGTGCTGCAGTTGGAATTTTTGTTGTTAAGAAATCTGTTGCATACCAGCACCAGGTGTCTTCTGGTTTTGTATTTCAGTCCTGAGAGTTAGTAAACGTCTCAGCATGCCGTTTCCGAGCAAAGCCAATAGGCAGCTCCTCGGAAATTTTTACTGTTACACCAAATCCTTGTTATCTGTGGGAGTAAGGGACACTGACCTCCCATGAATAACAAAAAAACATGGTTACCAGACCACGCGATCAGACCTGACAAGTCACCGGGGGTTAATAATGAGCTTGGGTCTGAGGCTGACCTCGTGCGTATGCAGATCAAAAAATAGTGAATCCTCAGTTAACCAGAAGTGAGGGTAATACCACAATCTGGAGGTAAGGAGGAAAGGCAGGTGCTAAATTATAAATACTTACAATTTGTAAGTTATAAATTCTTTAAGATCATGAAATGTACATGATTGTTTTAAACTTTCTTTATCACTGCAGCATTGTGATGCAGCCATATGGAACTTCTGCAAGTATTGTATTGTTCTGACAGTAAGCTTCCACTCCACTTGTTGAAGTTTTCCTTCAGACTTCCTCACCAATATCTTATGCCACGTCCCAAAGAATTTTGAAGTTCAGTAGTCTAATTAAACGGTTAACAAGATCTCTGACTCCATTGACTGAGAGGCAGGTGACTGTCAATCATCTGAAGCCTGAATAGAGCCTCAATAGGTGGTGATTACTTACACTATTAAAAAGTATAAGTTGTTACAGCTCACCCCAGCTCTATTTAAGAAAGGGACAATTAAAAATGCATGATCAATATGCTTTGCATGAGCAATTGGGAGAAGTCCCATCCAGAGAGAGGTACAGTCCGAGTGAGTGTGAGACTGGACATTTAGTGCACAATCGGAGTTCAGTGCACAGGGGAAGAGGTTTTTTTGCTCAACATTTGTAAAATTCTTTTACATAGAATCAGTACCATGTGGAAAGAGGCCATTCAGCCCATCAAGCCTGCACTGACCCTCCGAGGAGCTCATATTTACCACGATCAACCCCACCTAGCCAGCACATCCCCAGACACTATGGGCAATTTAGCATGGCCAACCCACCTAATCTGCATATCTTTGGACTGTGGGAAGAAACCGGAGCATCCGCTGGAAACCCATGCAGACACAGGCAGAATTTGGAAACTCCGCACTGACAGTCACCCAAGGCTAGAATTGAACCCAGTTCTCTGGTGCTATGAAGCAGCAGTGCTGACCACTGAGCCACCTTACTGCCCATTTTTCAGGTTTATAATTTGTAAGGCAATATTTTGAGCTTCAACTGAGCAGAGAGAAGGGAGTCTTAGTTTAACAGTTGCAGCCTCAGAGCTCTGCTGATTTGGAAAACAAAACTGTGACATCACGGGAAAGTAGTGTGCTGATTAGTTTGTGAATTTACAAAAATATATAAAAATGAAAAAAGGAATTTAACTGAGAAACAACAGGAACAGAGAACAGTACAGTGGAGAAATAGGCCCTTTGGCCCACTAAGCCTCTACTGACCCCTGACTTTTCTAACCCAAAAGCCTTTTGCCTCCACATGGTCCATAATCCTCTATTCCTTGCCTGTTCGTGTATCTGTCAAGCTGCCTCTTAAATGTTGCTATTATATCTGCTTCTACCACCTCCTCTGGCAGTGCATTCCAGGCATTTAGCATCCTCTCTGTTCTTAAAAAAAAAACTTGCCCCTCACATCTCCTTTAAACTTTTTCCCTTTACTTTAAAGCTATGTCCCTAGTAGTGTGGTGATCAGAACTGTAACTGCAGTATTCCAAATGTGGCCTAATTAAAGTTCTATGCAGCTGCAACATCACTTGCCAATTTTTATACTCTGTGCCCTGACCAATGAAGGCAAGCATACCATGCATTTTCTTGACCAACTTATTCACTTATGTTGCCACTTTCAAGGAACTGTGAATCTGTATGCCTGGACCCTGCTGTATGTTAATGCTTCTAAGGGTTCCACCATTTACTGCATACTTTCCTTCTGCATTAAACCTTCCAAAATATATCACATCACGTTTGTATAAGTGAAAGTCAGGGCCAGTAGAACAAAGGAATATAAGTCAGCAAAGTAGGGTAAGAGAAGTAGAGTTAGTGTAAGTGAAGTAACTTAACAGTATTCTTACATAAGCATAAGTTTTATTCAGAAAAGAATCTCAGGCTTAAAAGAGCTCATGGAAGCAGAGCTCACACCAGTCATATGCTCCTCCTGTCTATGTGGCAAATCATGGAAGCTTCAGTTGTCCCTGGTGACCACATGTGCAGGAAGTGTGCCCAGTTGCAACTACAGGGAAATGGCATTTCAGAGCTGGAGCTGCAGGTGAATTCACTATGGAGCATTTGCAATTCTGGGCAAGGTGGTTAGTGCATTCAGTGAGGCGGTCACGCTACAGGTACAGATTGAAAAGGCAGAAAGAGTATGGGTGATCACCAGGCAGAGTAGAGGAAAGCAAATAGTTCAGCGGTCCACTATGGCTATCCCTCTTTCTAACAGATATGCCATTTTTGATACTATTGGGCAAAGTGACTGGGCAGGGGAAAGCAACAGCAGCCAAATTCCTGGTGCCACAGGCAGGTGTGCTATATAAGAAGGGAGAAAGAGGAATGGCAGGGCTTTGGTGGTAGGCAGACTCATTGTAAGGGGAACAGAGGGGTGTTTCTAGGTCTGCAAAAGAGACTTCAGGATGGTATGTTGCCTCCACCAGGGACAGGGGCAGGGCATTCTGTAAGGGGGAGAGCAAACAGACAAAGGGCAAGAGAGATTGTAGTACATATTGGTAACAGTGATGTAGATAAGAAAAAGGATGAGGGACCTAAAAGCATACGCTAGGGAACCAGGAAGAACTTTGTATGCCTCACTCTGTCTAAGCACCCCATAATCTCTCTGTCCTTGTATGTTACGATCTGACTGCTCACAAAACACAACTTTTCACTGTACCTAGGTACATGTGACAATAATAAATTTAAATCAAGTCAAAATCAAGGATCCAAAAGGTAGTAATCTCTGGATTATTTCCAGTGTCATGTGCAAGTTGAGCATGGGAATTAGAAGGTCAGTCCAGATGAATGCGTGGCTAGAGAGATGGAGGATGGAGGCATCTAGATTTCTAGGCAGTGGGACCTGAACTGGAATGGGACCAAAATCCTTGCGAAAAGGTTTGTTAATGCACCTTGGGAGGGTTTAAACTAACTTGGCAGGAGGGTGGGATTCAAAAAGAATGTTCAGCAAAAGAAGATGAATGGCCAAAATTAGAAATGAGAGCAAGTGGGTCAGGAAGATGTAGACATTTTGGGCCAGTTAAGGCACAATTACTTTTCTCAAAGAGTTGTGAATCTGTGGAATTCACTATCTCAGAGTACGGTGGATGCTGGCACATTGTCTATCTCCATTTGAAAATTGAAGAGTGGGTGGGAAAGTGGAATTGAGGCCAAGGTGAGATCAGCATGATGGTATTAAATGGTGGAGCAGGCTCAAGGGGCTGAATTGCCTACTCCTGCTCCTAGTTTTTATGTTCTTATTGTAATTGCCTTAGTGAAAAATCTATTTATTTATGCTGTCTTGTAATGTCCAAATTAGTCATTCAATATTGGTTACTGAAATGCTGCATTTTTTGGATTTTGTTTAGCTATTCCAGTGATGAGCAAGCAGGACAAAGATAAGTTACGACGTCAAGAATTAAAACAGATTCAGATCAAGTATGGGTTGCAGGTATGTTTTTGTTTGTTTCCATCAGGTCATTTTGAAGTTTTGCAGTCGCAATATTAGAAGCCAAGCACTGGAAAGTGTATTAGATTCTTTTTATTAAATTAAAAAAAACCTTTTAAAATGAATGATCTCGAGATTGCAAAGAAAATACTAACATTTCAAATATGAGTGCAATGGAAGTAACTTAATTTACACGAAAGCTGTACAGTACTGGCCCGGAAACTATGTTCTGTGCAGATCCAAATTGCAAAATGTATGATAAAACCTGATAGGTTTTTGGCTGCCATCAATAGTCTCGCCAGCCTTTCTCACGTATTTACAGTTGTTTTCCTCTTAATGAGCTGGTTGATCCTCCACACTTTTCCATTTAAGGTTTCCAGAACCTCTCTGTGATCATTATACCCTGCATGAGTGAGTACAATGCCCAAAACTGAGCCCAGTACTCCAAATGGAGACTGAACAAGGATTTTTACAATTACAGCATAATTTTCTCCTCATTGCATTGCCCCTAGAGAGATATGAAATCTAATGTTCCTTAGCCTTCATGAATACTTTTGCACCTGTGCAAATGATTTCTGTATATTTTGTGACTTCCCAGTTACTAGTCTTTCTCCATTTGATTTGTCTTTATTGATGCCTAAGTGGATGAACTTGCACTTCCCCACATTTCAGGTCCAGCTGCCAGTTCTGCCCACTCATGTTAATCATTGCCGTTTTTTGTATTTTATAGCTCCCATTTGCCAGGCCCTATCTAACAATTTCCTTGCCCTCCTTTCTCTGCCTATCCTTGTTACCTTCGCCCTCTGCTGTCTTCTTTACCTAACTGCTGTTATCTCTCCTTCCTTTTTCAACTCTGTTTATATTCTTTGATCTTTCTCAGTGATGCAGTTATCTCCTCAGCCACTAATTGTTTAGTATGATTAGTGCCCTTGATCTGAATGACTAAGAATTCGTATAAAGTAAACCCTATGAATTAAATCAAAACTAATCCATCAGCTCACAATTTAAATTATTTTAAAAGATATGGATTATCGCAGTTCTGTTCTCTATTTGATATAAATAGAAGTTTGGCAATTTTTGCTAAAGAAATAGAGTACAAAAGAAGGCAAGTGACCATGTGTATAGAAATTGTGTTCAGCTTCAGCTCCTGATTGATGATATGGAGTGGCTAGAGCTGCAAGTGGACTCACTATTGAGCATCCATGATGCTGAGGATGTCATGAATAGCGAGTTAGTCATACCACAAGTAAGGGCTACACAGGCAGAAAATTGGATATTGTTGTTGGCGATGACCTCTTGGGGAAAGCAACAAATAGCAAAGTTTGTGGCACCATGGTTGGCTTTGTTGCACAGTTGGGGAGGAAAAAGACTGGGAGAGCTTTAGTGATAGGGTACTCAGTTGTAAGGGGAACTGACAGGCGGTTCAATGGCAGTAAACAACACTCCCAAATGGTATGCTTCCTCCCTGGTGCTAGGGTCAAGGATGTCTCGGAGAGGCAGCAGGGCATTCTGAAGAAGGGTGACAGCCAGCAGACGTGGTACATGTCGGTACCAATAACATGGGTTTAAAAAAGGGGTTCTACAGCAAGAATTTAGTTAAGTTAGGATGTAGATTAAAGAGGAAGACACTAAGGTTGTAATCTTTGGGTTACTTCCAGTGCCATGTGCTACTGAGTTTAAGAGTAGGAAGATAGGTCAGATGAATGCGTGACTAAAGGGATCGTGTTCAAGGGAAGGCTTTAGATTTTTGAATCATTGAGACAGTTTCTGGGGTAGGTGGGACCTACACAAGCTGAATGGGTTGCACCTGAACCGGAATGGGTCCACTACCCTTACCGGGAAGGTTTTAAACTCTTTTGGCAGGGGATGGGGCACAGAGTAGGTGTAAAGTTAGGAGCAAGGTCCAAACAGATATAGGAATGCTAGGAGAGTCCAGTAGGCAGAGAAGACATGGGCAGGATAAGGCACACGGGAGGGCCAGAAAGCTAAATTGTATTTATTTTAATGCTTCACTGGTAAAATGGATGAACTTAGCGCATTGCTCACCATGTGGGCATATGATACTGTTGCAGTCACTGAGACATAGTTCAAAGAAGGGCAGGACTGGCAGCTCAACATTCCAGGATATAAAGGTTTCAGATGTGATTAAGAGAGGAGGAGCATTGCATTTTTAACAAAGGAAACCGTCACTGCCATAATGAGGGAGGGCCTCCGAGTAGGGTCTTCAAATGAGGCCATCTGGGTAGAGCTAAGAAAATAGGGGTGATTACCTTACTGGGATTTACTACAGGCCTCCCAACAGTCAGGATGATGGAGGAGCAGATATGTAGGCAAATCACAGAAAGGTGTGAGAGACGTAGGGTTACAGTTGGAGGACATTTCAACTTTGCTAATATTCACTGGGATTGCCTTAGTGTGAAAAGATAGATGGGGTGGAATTTTAAAAGTGTATCCAGGAGAGCTTTTTGTGCCAGTAGATGCATAGTCCTACTAGAGATGGGGCAGCACTAGACCTAACGCTCGGGAAAGAAGCCAGTCAAGTGATTGAAGTTCCACTGGGCAAACATTTTGGAGATAGTGACCATAATTCCTTAAGTTTCAAAGTCATTATGGAAAGGGATAAGAATAGTGAAGAAGTGTCTAAAGTGGGGGAAGGCTGACTTCAATATCATTACACAGAATCTGGCAAAAAGACCGGGAGCAGTTCCTTGCAGGTAAGTCTACATTTGGAACATGGGAGTCTTTTAAAAGTGGTATATTTAGAATTCAGGGCCAGCATGTTTCTGTAATAGTTAAGGGGAGGGCAGCAAGTCCAGGGAAGCCTGGATTTCAAGAGATGTTGAATAGTTTGATAAATAAAAAGAAGGAAGCATTTGTCAGGTACAGTGCATTAAAAACAGGGGAGGCCCTTCGACAGTGTCGAATGTAGGAGGCTGCTTAAAAAGGAAATTAGGAGAGCAAAGAGGGGCCATGAAATATCCTTGGTAGTTGGGATCAAGGAAGACCCCAAGGCTTTTTTATAAGTATATCAAAAGTAAGGTTTACCAGGGAAATGGTGAGACCTATTAGAGATCAAAGGGGCAACCTGTGCATGGAGCCAGTGAACATGGCAGAGGACTTATTATTTGTATTCACAACAGAAAGATATTGTATCCGGGGTTATCAGTTGTGATGGTGAGGTTCTAGGACACGTTAAGATTAATAAGGAGGACGTATTAGAAGTTTAAGTAGGCATACAGGTGCGTAAATCCCCAGGATGACTGAGATGTAGCCCAGGCTGCTGTGGGAAGCAAGGGAGAAGATTGCTAGGGTCCTGACGGATATATTTAATACTTCGCTGGTCACAGATGAAGTGCCAGATAGCTGGAGGATAGCCAGAGTGGTTCCTTTGTTCAAGAAGGGTAGAAGGGATAGAACAGGTAATTACCACTGACGTCAAACTAACTGGTCTGTAGGGAAATTATTGGTGAAAATTCTGAAGGACAGGATTAATCATAATTGGAAAGACAGGTGTTGATCAGAGATAGTCAGCACAGATTTGTTACAGAGAGATCCTGACTAATTTGAGTTTTTTAAAAAGGTGGCTAAGTATATTGATAATGAAGATCCAAGGCACGTTGTCAAACTAGATCCAAAATTGGCTTAAAAATAGGAGGCAAAGAGTGATAATGAAGGGTCGTTTTTGTAATTGGAAGCCTGTGACCACAGGTGTGCCATGGGCATCAGTGCTAGAACCTTTGCTGTTAATGTACATTAGACCTTCTACAGTCGCATTCAGGTCGTTAATTAGTAAGTTTTGCAGATGACATGAACATTGTGTCTCTTTCCCTCGTCACCTGCAATGTCGCTAGGGAGTACTGAGGAACAAAGGGACTTGGTTTATAAGTTAATAGATCCCTGAAAGTGTCAGCACAGATAGAGTGGTGAGGAAGGCATCTCGGATTAGCCAGGACATAGAATATAGGAGCATGGAAATCTTGTTACGACTTTATAAAACTTTGGTTAGGCCATAGTGAAATATTGTGTGCAATTCTGGTTGCTACACTATCGGAACAATGTGATTAAGCTAGAGAGGATGCAGAGGAAATTCACTAGGATGTTGCCTGGGATAAAGTCTGTTTTGTGGAGGGACTGGAGAAGCTGGGTATGTTTTCCTCGGAGCAGAGGAGGTTGAGGGGGAATCTGATTAAGGTATACAAAATTATGAGAAGCATAGACTGAGTAGGTCATAAGAATTTCTTCCCAGTGAGTGGTTTAGGGAGATCTGAGGAAAAAAGAAATTCACCCAGAGACTGTTAGATATATGGAATATGCTGCCTGAGAAGGTGGTGGAGGAGGTTCTCTCGCAACATGGTAGTACCTGGATGAGTACTTGAAATCCTGGGCCATAGTAGGCTATGGACCAAGTGTAGGTAAATGGGATTAGTGTTTGTCAGCATAGATGTGGTGGGTTAAAGGACCTACTTCTATGCTGTATGATCCTATGTTGCTGCAACTGTACAAGGCATTAGTGAGACTACATCTGGAGTACTGCAGACAAATTTTGTCCCCTTGAAGAGAGATGTAGTTGCATTGGAGACAGTTCCGAGGAAGTTCATTAGATTAATCCCAGAGATGAGGGGTTTATTTTAACAGAGACTGAGTAGTTTAGGCCTATAATCTTTGGAGTTTAGAAAAATGAGAGGATATTTAATTGACGTATACAAGATGCTAAAGGGGATTGACGAAGTAAGTGTAGAGATGATGTTTCCTCATGTTGGGCAATCTAAAACAAGAGGTCATAGTTTTTAGGATAAGGGGTAGTAGATTTAAAATAGATGAGGAAAAATTATTTCTGTCCAAGGTTTGTGAATCTGTGAAATTCACTACCCCTGAGTATGATGGATGCTGGGATATTAAATAAATTTAAAGGAAGAGATAGATGTTAAAATTAGTAATGGGTTGAAGGGTTACAGAGAACAGGCAGGAAAGTGGAACTGAGGCCAAGATGAGATTGCATTAAATGGTGGAGCAGGCTCAAGGAGCTGAATTGCCAAAATTTGGTTCCAAGTTCTTAGGTAAAATATACTGGGTGTTTATAGGGGATTATGTGGAACAGAGAATGTGATACTCTTTCTGAAATGTTAATTTTAAACAGTTCATTAAACTTGTTGCCATTTTTAAATTTAGAATAGTGCATATGAAGGAGGTGAAACATTAAAGAACTCAATGTATAAGGATCGAGCTGCCAATCGCAGACAGTTTGTTGGAAGTGATGGTATCTATAGAAGAGATGATGCTCCTGCTTCAGTCAATGTGTAAGTATGTAAATGAACATAGGATTGTGAATCCACTCTGCAATTCAGTGGTAATTTCAGAATTTACCAAATGCACCATTGTTCAGTTCCAGTAGAGAATATAAATTGCTTACCAAGAATGATCTTTTACCTTTCCGATCAAGTTTCCAATAGAATATTGCTATTTTCCCCTGGGGAGAGTAAAATCACTAAGGGTATTATCCTTTAAGGAAGACCCTGTCTGGTCACTTGACCTTTTACGAGACATTGTTCTTGGTTGCATTTTTAGTTTGTTTGCAAGTGCAGCACTGATTACCCAAAAAACAAGAGTGCTGTGATACTCACTACAATAAATATTTGAGCAGTTTTTCAAGCACTCTGTGCTGTAAAATAAGTTATTGTTGATCGGAAAGAAGCTTTATTTGGATTTCACAGACTGTTCGTCCCAGAACGTTTATGCTGGCTGTCTACAAGCTGGACCCAATCTCCTGCTCTTTCTTACTTAAGAGATGCTTATCCAATTCCCTTTAAAAGCCAGAATTGAATCTGCCTTACCACATTCTCAAACAGTACATTGCCAGATCCTGACCACTCGGTGCGTTCAAACATTTTTGTTCAGTCTGCTATTGGTTCTATTGTCAGTCACCTTAAGTTGGTGTTTCCTCTAGTTTTCAAACCTTCCATCAATGGAATGGTTCTATCTACCTTTTGGATAACCTTAATGATTTCAGATACATGTATCGGATATCCTTTATTTTTATTTAATTTTTATCCAGTCCACACAACTGAAGTCTGTCATCCTTGGGGTGGCATGGTGGCTCAGTGGTTAGCACTGCTACCTCACAGCGCCAGGAACCCAGGTTTATTCAACCCTTGGGCGACAGTCTGTGTGGAGTTTGCATGTTCTCTCTGTGTCTGCGTGGGTTCCTCCCACAGTCCAAAGATGTGCAGGCTAGGTGGATTGGCCATGCTAAATCGCCAGTAGTGTTCAGAGATGTATAGATTAGGTGGGTGGGATGCTCTGAGGTTCGGCATGGACTTGTTGGGCCTGTTTCCACACTGTAGGGATACTAAGATTTATGATCCCTGGAATCATTCTGTTTCCCATTGGCATTAGGGCCAAAAACCAGAGAACAGAAATAGATTCAATTATTGCTTTCAAAATGGAATCACATAAGCAGCTAAAGAGAAAAGGTCCTGCATGTGTGATTGTTCAGGATATACTCCACCTGCTTCTCAAAACTTTTGATATCTTGATCTTCACATTAGTCTGAGTGAGACGGGGTACTGGTGTAAGGATATGATGGAAATTCTCAAAGTAGTAAATGGTGCACTAGCATAATAAGCTTTATTGATCTTAGGGAAATCTGTGACAACAATAAAGGGAGAAAGATGTTGGAAAAGATGGGCTGGAAGAAAGGTGAAGGACTTGGCAAAGAGAGTTGTGGCATTAAAGAGCCGGTAAGTTGTCTTTGCCCTACTACACAGAAAACTGCTAGAAATTACTTTTTGGATCAAAAAAGTTAGGTAGGAAATGAACAGACATAAAACTAAATATTTAAACAAATTATTACTTATTAGAAATGAGCCATCTGTAATTTACATTTATTCTTCAATATTGAGAACTCAATTGGAAATGAGTAATTTTTTTAAATTGCTAGACTCAATGAGCAACATTATGTCTTAGTGGTTAGCACTGCTGCCTCACAGCACCAGGGACCTGGGTTTGATTCCAGCCTTGGGTGACTGTGTGGAGTTTACGCATTCTGTCCATGTCTGCATAGGTTTCCTTCCACAGTCCAAAAATGTACAGACTAAGTGGTTTGCCCATGCTAAAATTGCCAGTGCTTTCCAGGGATGTGCAGGCTAGGTGGGCTAGCCATGGTAAATGTGGGATTATAGGATTGGATGGATTGCTCTTCAGAAGGTCACTTTGGACTCAATGAGCCCAATGGCCTCTTTCCACAGAGTGGAATTCTAATATGCTTTAAAGTCAACTTGCCTCATAGTGGTAATCCTACTCATAGTATAAATTATGTTAACACTTCTTATTTAGTCGTGGGTCATGGGCATTGTTGGCTGGCTAACCAGCACTTATTGTCCTGTCCCTAGCTGCCCTTGAACTGAGTGACATGCTCGGCCGTTTCACATTGCTATGGGTATGAAATCACATATCCAGACCAGGTGAAAATAGCAGATTTCCTTCCCTGAAGGACAATGAACCAGATGGGGTTTTCTGACAACTGGCAATGGTTTCATGGTCACCTGTAGATTCTCAATTCCACTACCTGCCACAGTGGGATTCAAATCCAGGTCCCCAGAACATTAGCTGAGTTACTGGATTAATAGTCTGGTGATAATACTATAAAGCCATTGCCTCCCCAAATACATGTCTGCTTAAACACATTGGCAGAGTATAACAGTGCATTTACCAAACCAAGAAAGTCTTTGTGAGCTTTCTCTAATGGCTCAGTAGGAAAATTTATGTTTTGGCATAATAGCCAGACTGGGAAAATTTCATGTTCGTACTATGGGAAGATCTGTGCGTATGGGGTACTTAGCAGTTTTGCCACCCGATTAGATGAAATGGTAGATAACAAAATGAATCAATCCATATTCTCTACTAATCTGTATTGATTGAACTGACTTTGGCTACTGCTGTACTCCAATGTCCATGGTGATGACTTGATGATTAAAACAGAAGTTCCAAAATATTTGGCCTAAAAGACGATCCAAACCATTTCAGGATTGTGGTACACAATCAGAATGTGACATCTGTGAAGAGCCACTTTTTATTCTTAAATAAACATTTCAAAACACATTTATGTCTGTGAGAAATTGCAAGGCAGTCATCTAATCATGCCAATTTCTTGTTAAATCCCAAATGCTGTATTTCTGTTGTATCTGTAATTTCAGATTCAAGTTCAACTTCATCACTCACAAGCTGGTTTAGGAGCCACTGAACCGCTTTCCATTGAAGATGTACAGCTGTCCAGATCCAATAAACAGAAAAATTGGGCCAAAGCTAGAGACAGATTTTCTGAAACTTTTCAACAAACCACAAATCAGAAAGCAACACTGAAAACATTGTGGGTTAAAGGTGCTGTAAGGGAGCAGACTGAAGACAGTGTCACAAGCTGAATTTTGTAAATAATGTTCCATTTTTGTGAATTAATTATACCATGAAGGTGCAAGTTTTTATATTGTAAAATAAAAAGCAAATATGCGTATTTAGTTTGAGGCAACTAAATTGTATTAATTCTGGTTTTGTTTTGGCATAGCAACTAAGGATCTCCGAATACAGCAGTTTACTTTTTTAAAAAATATATAGCTCTTCCTTGAATTAGACATTCTATTCAGAATGAATATTGCTGAGGAAAAAAAGTGTAAGCTTTTCATTTTGCACTCCTCTAGACAATTCTCAAGAATACAAATTCAAGAGAAATATCAGCGTTTATATTGCATGTGTGTGGAGGCCATGGAGAATGCCATTAATGCACAGTTGACAGCCATGTTGACTTATTAGTCAGGACATTGCCCTGTAGAATGAACCAAACCATTAGCTATCATCTGTTGTGTTGAGTTGGAACGGATGCAAGGAATTGTGTAGTTTTCAGTACATTTGCATGTCCATCATAACAATCTTAAATTGGTTGTCAGTGTAATTCCTTATACACTTGCTGGATAATCCAATTTTATGCTCACACAGAACCAGATCTAAATTAGTAGCAATGTAAAAATTTCACCTCAAATTCTCAATTCTCACTTCCTAGAGTTATTAGATGTACCTTGCCCAGTATTAACTATACACATCCAGCCCACACTTGAGACAGTGTGTAACATTAGATGTGATACTGCAGTAGGACAGCAGATAACATGCAAAGAATTATGCTGACAACCAGTTTAGAATTGTCAGTCAAGCTTTCAGGGTATTCTTTGCACATTGGCAGAACCAGGTATATGCGTTGAGCATATCACTTGCTGTTTCATTGGTCAGAGCCTTGCCCTGAGAAATTACATTTTTTCTTCTTTATTCATTCATGGGATGAGGGTTTCACTGGCTAGGCAGTATTTGTTGCCCTCCCTAATTGCCCAGAGGGCAGTTAAAAGTCAACCACATTGCTGTGGGTCTGGAATCACTTGTAGGCCAGACCAGATAAGATGACCATTTCCTTCCCTAAAGGACATTAATGAACCAGATGGGTTTTTCAGACAGACAACAGATTCATGATCATCATTAGATTCTTAATTCTACCATCTATCATGGCAGCATTCAAACCCTGGTCTGGGTCTTTGGATTAACAGTCCAGCGATAATACCACTAGGCCATCACCTCCCCCTTTTAAACCAGGCAGGTTCCCACAGCAGTAACATCTCTATCAGAGGCCACTTGTCACCTAATTTTCTTTTATTCAGTATGAATACAAGTTGACAAAGTTGTCCAGCAATACTCAATTTTATTTTAGATTAGTCAGCAATAACTTGTCGATTCAGTTATTTGTCCATTCAAAAGGCTCCTGTGTTTTAATGCATTGTTGTGCACGTCAGAATAATCATTCCAGCTAGGGAGTATTAAGATATTTATAGCTTCCCGCATACACCTTCAACAGGCAGGTACAACTTGTATAAAGCTGCTCCTGCAAGTTTGACTAACATCTCCTGTTCCAGTTTAACCATTAATTTCAAAGGACTACTGTTATCTTGATAAAATATACTTTGTCCAAATGTATCAAATGAATGAGGTCTGTAGTTTCTTTTATTAGGCCCTACAATGGCAAATAGTTACTGATCTAGAAATTCAGTCACCACAGCCCTGTATTAGTAACAAAATAGATTAAAATTCTCCATGCTACCTTCATAGTTGCAATGGCTGTAAAATAAATTTGAAGGAGTTAGTTTTCAACACTTCAATATAGTATACACCTCTCGTATTTCGCATACTTTTATTTTACAGGCTGTATTTAATACACTAAATCCTTGCCAATTACAACATAAGACTGGTGCATGAATCATGCTTCTGCAAAGTACCAGCAGGGAAAAGCTGGAGTTTTTAATATGTCCTTAATTCTGGAATTTGTGACTTCACTCTTCACAATACTGCAGCTGGATTCCTGTAAAAAATGCCAATATGATGATGGATCTTCTAGTTCCTGCAACTTGCATTAAAGTCTATCTTCCAATGTTACGCTGTGAGCCACTCAATTATGATAGTCCATTCAAGTTAATTCCAGAAGTCCTCGCAAATTGGGTAATAGTAGTACTGCACCTAGCGCACACAGGCTGATTTGTACAATAGTGGTTTAGCTGCACATAGTGAAGAGAACATTGACAAAAATACATTTACAACATTTGCAATATTAATTGGGTGCCATCCAGAAGGGCATGGAATTTTGAGACCTGGGTAAACCATGTTGCTGCTGCTGGTGGTGATGATGAGGATGATGATGTTGGTGGATTGAATGCTGAAAGTAAGGATGATACATATTGCGTGATGCATTTCCTGAAGGTCGGTATCTCCCACCTCGCTTATGCCGGTCGTCTTCCTCATCTGAAGAGTCCTCCCCGTACTGGGCCAGGGCACCTAGGCTATCACTAGTCTTGTGTCGCTTATGGCTTGGAGAAGAGATATGACCTACATTTTAAAATAAGAATCCCCAAACACCATACATACCCAGAAAGCCATGAATTATTCAATATAAGAGAAAGAATTTAGTTTGTGGGAAAGAGAACACATTGTTAATGTTTAAAATGTTTACAGACAATACATTAAAATAAATCATTTGTAGTACAGTACATAAGATGTCATAAAACCATGTCAAGTTGACAGCAGCAGGTGAAGTCCCATCAGAAACATGTAAGAGAACACAAGACACAGGAAAAATTAAATTCAGATTAATTGGCACATACTAACTATGCTCAAACTGCAGCACAATTTAAACCATTACAGCACGCTTAGCTCATTAATAGTTGTATTAAACAATGCCTTTCAAATTGACCAGTAAAAGTTTCACAAATGCCATACACAATACTGCAGAGAATATTAATTTTTCTCACTTATCTGCCACATTCTGTAATATGTTAGCCAGGTATTATACTAGTACAATTGGACAATGAATAAAAGATTAAAAAATTCAGCACAGCCTCACTTTTTCTCTCAAAGGATCTGACAGTTGCCTGGCTTACTACCTCTGTGAAAGTGTCCAATGTACTAAGTGAAAATAGGTCAAATGCTTTCAAGCAACAGCAATTGAACTTGTCAATTAAACTAGATTCTGAACTTAATCATCATTTCCATCAGATCTAAAACTTCAGGTATCCAACTTGGTGCGGAGTTTTTTCTAGATTAGAATTAGCAAAATTGATCTGCGTATAGTTTAACCTACCTTATCATCTTGCTTGGAATAATGGATTTAAAACTAACATCATTTGCACTGCATTTCAAAAGTCGATGTACTTTACGCTTTTTCCCGTCTCTTAGATCTACTACTTTCTGGAGAAGCATTGTGGTTGTAAAACAAACGTTTGTTTTAAAGTTGCTTATATTCAAACATTAGTGCATCACTGGAAATTCTAGAACCAGGCAGAATGGACAGACCATTCAGGAGAGATAATCAGAAGCACCTCTACATACAAAGGGTAGTGGATGTTTGTGGAACTCTTCCACAAACAGCAGTGAATGCTAGATCAGCTGCTAATTTAAAATCTAACATCATACATTTTCTGATCAAAAAATTTATCGAAGGGATATGGGCTAAAAACAGGAATGTGGAGTTAGGCCACAGCTTAGCCATGATCTAACTGAATTCCAAATCAGGCTCAAGGGGCTGAACACCTGCTCTTACATTCCTACATATTAGTGGTACTCATCAATTTATCTCATTTATCAATTTGAACATCAATCAATTTTCAGCTTACTGAAATTTCACATTTGGATGAGAGCTTCCCTTAAAATTTGATTGAAAAGTGCAGCCAGTGGTTTTATTTAACATACTGAGAGTTGCTCCTTCACCTGACAATGCATCAATGTTTTCTTGTGGTCAAAATTGTGATGCACTTGCTTTCCCATTAACTATTTACATCATCACGAGCAGAAATGAGAGACATTAAAACTATTGGTTAAAACTCAAATCAACCAGTTATACCTTTGCTAAATTTCCTTTGCTAATGAAAACCCAAGTACTTGTCAAAGGAAAACTTCTCATTGAAACAAAATTTTGATAGGATAGATGGTGAAAGACTGTTTCCTCTTTCTCGAGTCTAAAATTCAGTCTAAATAAAAAGGTTTGGCTATCTTGGGCTGAAATGAGGAGCAACTTCTTCACTCAGAGCGTTCTGAATCTTTGAAAGAAATCAAGGATTATTGAGATTGGGCGAGAAAAGTAGAGTTGAAGATCAGCCATTAACTTATTATATGGTTGAGCCAACTCTAGAGGCAAGACAGACTACCCTATTTGTGTTCTTTTGTAATCTACCGCATGCAATCTCACACATGGGTACCTGTCATTTTATGCCTGCTTGATATATTGAAGGTAGCCCAACAATAGGGGGCACTCAATGATATGTAGAATTGGTTCCAAATACTGAGTTGGCATATCCAGCAATGGTTTCACGGCTAGAAGTTAACCCAAAGGCAGTTGGCTATCTGAAGATTAGTCAATGGAGCCTGTTAGTTACTCCAACTCCCATATAAGCGGAAACCATACTGGAACAGTTCCAGATAGAAGGAGAAACATTATTCCAAGGAGAAATGCATGAAAAAAAGATAATTTCTGACATCATACCACTGAAGCATCCTTCATCCTTTTTTTAAACAATCTATTGCATACACAGGAATATACTGTAGGAAAACCAAGAGTTTTGTATTTTGCCAGTTATCTGTGTAGGAAAGGTCACATCATGCATTGAACGCTTACATACTGCCTGAATAGCAAGTTTAACTTACCTTATGGAGTATATTTCTAATCATGAAAATTTAAAATTTAATATCACGCATTCATAACTCAGCAAGTAAAGTTCCAGGTAAGGTTGCTGATCTCAACTAAGGCAACAAATGTACAGGTGACCTCAGCATCACTGGATGAAGGACAAAGAAAGATGAAGGGTTTGTGAAGACAGAAAAGTCCAGTATGCTTCCCACTTATTATCATGCAGTAGCAACTTTCAAATTTAAATGCATCTGGATGCCTTGACGATACGGTCAGGCTTTAATGATGAATTAACCAGTCAACAATTACAATCTAAGCTTAAGATGGAGAAGTAACTTGTAAACCCAAGCGCCTGTACTTTAGCCCATACTATTCCTTTCATAAGAATAGGGACAAGATGAGAAAATTAGTAAGGAAAAGGTTATTCACATACTTGAAAGACTAATCTTGCATAATCCTGTAAAGAGTATAACATAGATCATTAAAGTGTTATCATGATTTAGTGGATGGAAGTGTGGAAGGTCCTCACCTTGCATGTTTAAGGCATGCAACATTTGCATCGAGGTCTTTGGCATTTCAGAATGATCTCCATGGTTGGACAGCAAGGGCATCAGCTGCCTGTGAGGTACAAAATAAGAACCATTAGACTCTTCAAATATTTGATTACAACAATGCATGGTGCTATTTGTTACAAGCTTTCTTCCTGTTAGTGCAGGATTACTGTAGACCCATTAAATACTGTACTTCATTGGTATTGCATAACTCATGAAAAACTAAAAGTTGTACACTTCCATAATGTCACACATTCTGAAGGAAGATCTTTACAAAAAACAGAATGTGAACACATTTGTACTGAACTTGGGTAAGTGCATTATTTTTCATGTGTGGCATCCTGCTTCAATGGATCTACAGGAGGTTCCTACAACTATTTCGTGTGATAAAGATAGAAATATAGGCAACACAGGAACTAGTCAAGTAGAAATGGAACAAATAAAAAGTTACAGCTGCTTATTCTACTGAAGTTATTTTAGTACACTGACATTTCTAGTGTTGTTTAGCAAGCCACAACAGTCTTGAAGCTGAGAATATTTATGATATTACGTGAATACCACATGAATTAGTTTCTGAAAAAGTGAAGTCATAAAACAAGACATTTAGAAGGTAGACATTAGTTCCTTGCTACTTTCAAAGGGTCATTAAAACAAATTATTCCTGTTATAATTCAGCTGGGGAGATAAGAGTATGCATTACGAAGAGTTTTGGAGTGTACATCTTTCCTTAGTTAAGAGGTCTATTCTAGGTGTGATCTATTGAAATAATATTCAGCTCTTCCAATCTTCCTGTCAAAGCGCATAACCTCACATTCTCCCACATTATACTTTATATTTAAAGATTTTGCCCATGCACTTAATCTGTCTAAATCCATCCTTTAGACCATCATCCTTACCACTGTCCCACATCCTCTTATCTGCGTAAAATCTTGCTTGTCACCTATGAATACTTCAATTGAATCTGCCAACTCCACTATAATTTCAAGCAGTGCTTTCTAGAACATAACCACTTGCTGACTGAAAATATTCTCCCTCATGTCACTTTTACTTTTTTTCCAATTACTTTCAATCTGTGCCCTTTCATGGTTTATCGTTTCAGTTTCCAACCATCTACTCCATCCAGGCTCCTCATTATTTTACATACCTCCAGCAAATCTCCATTTCTCCATGAAATACCATACCATCTTCTGCAATCTGCTGCATAACTGAAGTTCCTCACCCCAGAACATTCCCATGAATCTTTTCTGCAATCTTTGTAATGCTTTCTGCCTTTGAATAAATTCCTTTTTGGTCCCTAATTGGTTCGACACCTTGTTACTGCTGTTTTCATACTCTCACAACTTTTTTTTATAATGTTTATTCACCTCTCCTTTAAACCCTCTATATTCAAACTGGTTCTCAACTGTCCGTTCTACTTGACATGTGTCATAAGCATACTTTTTCTTCCTTGCTTTAATTTACATTTCTTTTGTCATTCAATGGGTTCTGGCTTTGTTTGCCCTACTCATTGCTTTTGAACAGTATGTCTCAACTGTGTTTGAAATACCACTTCTTTGAAGGCAGACCGTTGTCAAGCTGCTGATTTTCCTACGAATCTTTCACAAATGATTCAGCCCAGATCTGTTCTTGTCCCAGTGAAGTTAATTATCCTTGTTCTGAACTGTTCTTTGTTCTTTTTCATAGTCAGCTTTAACCTTACGGTGTTACTATTTAAATATGAGCCACCTGGTCCACCTTATTTCCAAAACTATGCCTACCAGCACCTTTCTTTTGGGACTGAAAATACACTGATTACACACTGGGATAGTAGTAATGAAAATCGCCATTGTAACTACCCTATAGTTTTTGCACCTCTTTAAAAGTTCCTTGTTAATTTGCCCCTCTACAGCCTTGCCACTAGTCGATGGCCTATATATAACGCAATGCAACTGCACTATTTTCATTTCCTTTAGTTCTAGTCAAATAGATTTTATCTTTGGCCCCTTTGGGGCTTTCGCTTTCTCCAGCACTGTAAAGCTTTCATTAATCAATACTGCCACCCCTCACATTTCCTGCTTTTAATTTTCCTGAACGTCTTCCATCAGGAATATTTAACACTTGAGTCTTGCTCGTCTTTAAGCGAGGTCTCTCTTATAGCCACAAAACCACATTTTTAGATGCCAATTAGCATCAATCTTACTTACCACACTCCATGCAGTTACATACATGTACAGTAACCCTCATATAAACTTAATTACATTTTGCCCTTACTCTGATCACACCTCTTAAATATTTCTGTACTAACCATCTTGCAGTATTCTGTGTGATTTGCTATTCCTCTCTGATGCTATCTCTTTCTTGACCAGATTAGCTTAAACCCTACCCCAACCCGAACTTTTTGCAATAACAGTCCCACAATTCACCTAACCCATAAATGTCTCAAGAATCCAAAGCCCTTCCTATTATATCCGGCCAAACATTCATCAGCTTTGAACTCATGTTTATACAACTTACTGCAAGTAATCTATGGAAATATATTTTTGAGATTTTGCTTGTTAAGTTCCCACCTAGCGCCCCAAATTCTGGCTGCAGGACCACATCCTTCTTTCTACCTATGTGATTTGTACCAACATGGACCAAGTACTGGCTGTTCACCCTCCTCCCCAGACACCCTGTAATATTAGTGATTCATGAGATACTATGATACAGAAAAATAAAACAGAGCTAAAACTTCTCAATTCAGCATAGCTAGAAACTGCCAATTCTGCTGATAGACAAGAATGTCTTCTAAAATAAGAATACTGCATTCCAACTCGTCACTGGAATTCAAATTATGCAATTATACTTTCAAGCTCACTTTGTTCACCAGGTGTTCAACCACTTTTAATTAGCATAAAGCATAAAGGTTAGGTCTGGATGTCCTCGATAGCAGTATTCATCAAAAGTGCATACCAGGCTGAGGACCAAAACCTGTAATGCTGAGCTATTTACAAATCCAGCACAGGTTCAACCCTTGGCAGATTCTTATGTCTGTGATGATGACGATGGGAAATGTGAGATAATTTTAAAATCCTTTTCTACTGTACAACTACAAATAGGCAATTCTTGATTACATCTGAATGTCCTTAGTGACAGCACTAGTTTAAACTTTTTAAATGCCTTACCTCGTTGCTTGGTTGAATCTTAAGGTTTTAGTTTACATACTATCTGCAATACATTGTGTGGCATGGATTGCCTTATATCTACAGAGACCCCATGAAACCTGTGATCAACAAGGGGTCAGGGAAATGTCACATTGTATTGTTTGTCCATACAGCTTCAAATGTTCATGTGACGAAAAGGCAAGAGGCGAGAAATATTCTCAAAATATGACACTGTCATGGCTATAATGAGCCTGATCTTAAAAAGAGGTGGAAGCTTTGATCCACCCATCAAAGAGAGCTCTGAAAGTCTCTGGATGATGTTAAACTTGCTTCATTAAGCCCTGCCCCTGAACATCATGGCCAGAAATAATTAGCTCCTATAAGTTAACAGTCTAAAATGAATGACACCTTCCAAATGATAAAAGGAAACTACTTACCTTTCTCTTCCTCTTCCAAAGAGGTCAGAATCAGCAGCTATCTTCATCCCAGATCCCATATCCTGACTGCTCCTAGTACCTAGATTAGTCAAGTGAAATGGTCCGTGCTATGAGTAGAAAAAAGGCCACAGAAATCAACAGGCGTGATTGCACAGAAAGTACAAAACAAATTCGATTACGACTAACGTATACCAATATTAACTTTTTTTTAATGCAAACAGGATTCTAGAGCCCTTCAGAAGTTGGTCTTCAGAATCAGCATGGGCTCTGGTCCTGGCTTTACATGGTCATTGTTGATTGAATGGGTGAACAAACATACAAAACAGCTAATGGCATGCTTTTAAAATTCTAACAACCAGTGTCTTATTTATTAAGAATCCAAAAATTTTGAACGTACATCTCATTTGTTAAAAAGTAGCATGTTCTTCCCTACCCTGATACAGAAGATTAATTTAACAGATTATAAGACAGAGCATAAAAATTTAGTTAGGCCGCATTTGGAGTACTGTGTGCAGTTCAGGTCGCTACACTATAGGAAGGACGTGAAGGCTCTGAACAGGGTGCAAAAGAGGTTTAATAGGTTGTTGCCAGGTTTGGAGTTGTTAGCCATAAGAAGATAGAGAATATTTGTAGCTCAGGTTGTGGATGAGGTTGTAGACTTGCTCACCAAACTGGTGGGTTTGGTTGCAAACATTTCGTCACCCTGCTAGGTAACATCGTCAGTGCACCTCCGGTGAAGCGCTAGTGTTCTGTCCCACTTGTTATTTATATGCCTCAGTTTGTTGGGGTGTTCTGTTTCTCCTGGTTCTGTTTCTCAGTGGCTTGTACACTGGGTCGAATTCAATGTGTTTGTTGATGGAGTTTTGGTTAGAGTACCAGGCCTCCAGGAATTCCCCAGCATATCTGTTTGCCTTGTGCAATTATGGATGTGTTGTCCCAGTCAAATTTGTGTCCCTCTTTATCCGTGTGTAGCGAGACAAGTGAGAATTGGTCGTGTCTCTTAGTGGCTAGTTGGTGTTCGTGTATCTTGTATTGTCGGTTTTCTTCTGTTTTGGCCTATATAGTGTTTCTCACAGTCCTTGAATGGTATTTTGTACATTACACTGGTTTTGGGTATGGGATCCTTTACGTTCGTGAAATGCTAAGGGGCATGTTTCCAAGTCAGAATGGTGAGTGGCTTGAAGGGGAGCTTGCAGGTGGTGGAATTCCCATGTATCAGCTGCCCTTGTTCTTCTAGATGGAAGTGGTCGTGGGTTTGGAAGATTCTGTCTGAGGAGAACAACTTTCTGGGTGTTTTTTTTGAAATTTGGTGAATAGTCTCTAACTACAAAAGATGTCTGACAAATTTGAGGATGATCCCAATTCAAGATCTTGAGAAGAATAGATACTGTTGGTGCAAACAAGTCATTCAATTTGGATTTTGAGCATAGAACTAAATAATGGGAATGTAATAAGCAAACATGATAAAATGCAAATATCTTCCCCAACAGTACTGAATATAAAGAGTTTATATAATCTATCTAAACAAAGACAATATATAAATAAACAGAGGCCTCAGAATATAGATGCATAAATCATTGAAAATGGCAAGGCTGCTTGAGAGAGAGGTTAATCGGAAGTCCTGGGTTTTATAAACAGGGACAGAGAGTAATTAGCAAGCATGCTACACCTTTGTAAAAAGCCTGGCTTGGTCTCAGCTGAGCACTGTGTCCAATTCTGAACATTTATAATGGATGTGAAGACTTTAGAGAGGGGGCGGTTCCAGGAAAGAGGGGCATGCATTAAATGGATAGAGTGGAAAATGTGGAGCTGTTCCCCTTGGAGAAGAGAAAATGAATATGAGATTTGACAGAACTCAAGATCTGGAACTTCAAGAGTAGAAAAGGGGAAATTATTCTTACTGGTAGAAGTGCTAAGAACCAAAGACTTATAGTGACCGACAAAGAACTAAAGTCGACATGATTTTATACAGTGAGTGCTTAGTATCTGGTATTCAGTCTAGGCTTTCAGAGGATATTGGATAATTAACTGTAGAGAAAAGTCTCGCAGGACTATTGAGAAAGGACAAGGGAATAGAATCAGCCAAATTGCTTGTGAGCCAGTATGGACATGACAGGCCAACTGGCTAACCCCTTGCTGTAACCATTCTGTAATTTCAAAACAGATGTTCACCTAAAACAGTAATACTATGCAGGTTAACTTGAAGATGAACAATTAAAATATTTAAATTAGGATTATGAAGAGAGGATAACTGAAAACGCCATAGAATACAATGACTTGTAAACTGCCAAAACTATACAAATTTAATGCTGATGGTGGTAAGAGTGAAAACCAGATAGGCTCCAATATTACTCAATTTTCCATGAATAAATTTATTTCTCAAAGTAAATGTGAAATCCAGAAATATTAATGCATGACCTTTGTAAAAGATGAGTTTGATGGATCCAATAACCTTTTCTGGTCTATGCCTAATACTTTTTACTAAACAGTGTACGCAGTAGTGATGTGCTTTAGCAACAATGACGTGCTGCAGCAAAGTAGAACACACTACTGCATGACTTTAATATGGGAGGTTACTACCAGCAAGTGCAGCACAGTTATAAAGCTACCTCACCTTCTCAATCCTCCAGTGAGTTCACAAATGTGAAATAATCAGTTACTTATAATGTACATTAGAATAACATACCATAAAGTTTTGCCAAAAATAACACAAAAAATTCCGATTATGAACAAATAACATCTCACAAAGTAGTCATCCTTATACGACTGAAAAATTAAAATTCACATTTGAATCAGTCTAATTATAAAATGAGTTTAATTAAAAATCAAATTTGGAAAAGTTTGGATATTCAATGATTTTATAATAACTCTCCATAAACGGCGAGCACATATTGAACTTAAAAACAACTAAGTGGTTTCTCAGGAGGAAAGGTCATGATCTATCACTATACTGTGCTGACAGCAGAGGAAATAGGAATGCATTTTTAAATGTTTCATATTTAAAAGACAATTTCTAGCCATAATCAATGAACTCGCATTTATACAATTTTTTTTAACACACTGAAGAAAAAAAAAGCCCTAGGTGCTTAATTGGAGCAATAGCAAATACATTTTCTCTCAACCACACTGGCTGAAGAAGTAGGTTTTAACTGCTGAAAACAAGGAAAACAGAATATGGAGAGATCTAGGAGGAAATCAAGAGCATGGGCCCCAGCAACTGATAAAAGCACAGCTGACTTTTTAAAAAAATTCATTCATGGCATGTGGGCATTGCTGGCTCGGCCAAAAACTCTTGCACATCCTTACACTGCTACATTCTTGAACAGCTATAAACCTTTGGACTTGGTAAATACACAGTGCAATTAGGGTAGGAGTTCCAGGATTATGACCCAGTAACAGTAAAGGAATGGTGATAAACTTCTAAATCAGGATGCTGTGGGGCTTGGACTAGGGCTTGGTAGGTGTACCCACAGATCTGCTAATCTTGTCCTTCAAAACGGTCAAGGGAATCTTGATTTCCTGCAGTGCATTTTGTAGATGGTATACATTGCTGTCGCTATGCTTTGGTGCTGGATGGAGCAACAATCAAATGTGCATTGACCCGAATAACAATGAACCTCAAGTCTTGCCTGGATACACCCATCCAGGCAAGTTTAGTGTATTCTTGGAGATATTAGTTTCTGGCCAATGGTAACCCCAGGACATTGATAGTAGGGGATTCAGTGGTGGTAGCATGATTGAATGTCAAGGGCTGGAAGCTAAATTGGAACTTATTAGAAATGGTCACTGCCTGGTATTTGTGTGGCAAGAATGTTATTTGCCACTTTTTAGCCAAAACCTGGATACTGTCCAGTTCTTGCTGCACTCAGAGATGGACTGCTTCAGTATGAGGAGTCACGAATGGTGCTGAACATTGTGTAATCATTAGCAAACATCCCCATTTCTGACCTTACAATGGAGAGAAGTCAATGAAACAGTTGAAGATGGCTGTACGTAGGACTCTTCACCGAGGAACTCTGCAGAAGTGCCTGGAGCTGAGATGACTCTCCTGCAACAACCACAAACACCTACCTATGTGCCAGGTATGTCTCCAACCAGCACAGAGTTTCTCCCCCACCCCAACTTTGCTAGAGCTCTTTGATGCTACGCTTGGTCAAATGCAAACTTGATGTCAAAGGCAGTCACCATCAACTCACCTCTCCAATTCAAATGAGTGGTCCTAGCAGAACCCAAACTGGGCAGTAGTGAGTAGGTTATTGCTGAGCAGGTTCTGCTCGGTAGCACTATTGATGACACCTTCCAACACTTGTCAAGAGTATTCGAGTTACTAGATCTGTTTAAAGCCTGTCTCATTTAGCACAGTGATAATGCCACACAGCATGGTGGAGGACATTCTCAATGTGAAGCTAGGATTTGGTCTCCTTGGTGGTCACTGTTACCGAAACGGTTTAGATCAGTTGCATCTGCGAAAGGCAGATTGGCGAGGATAAGGTCAAGTATGCTTCTCCCTCACCACTTGCTGCAGACTCAGTCTAGTCAAAACATCTTTTTGGACTGTTCCACACCAATCTGTAGGGCAGCTCGCAAGCTACTCAGGAGTGGGCATCCATGAGGGTGCTGTCGGACATCAACAGTGGCAGAATCGTACACCAACACATCTTGCAATCTCATTGCCTGGCATATCCCCCACTATAATATATTTATCAAGACGGGATCAACTCTGGCCCAAACAAGAGTGCAGGAGGGCATGCCAACAGCCGCACTAGACATGCCTAAAAATGAGATGTCAACCTAGTGAAGCTACAAACAGAATTATCAATGTCCCAACAGCACAAGCAGCAAGTGACAGACAGAGTTAAGCAATTCCACAACCAATGGATCAGATCCAAGCTCTACAGTCCTGGCATGTCAAGTCTTGAATGGTTGTGGACAACTAAACAACTCACGAGAGGAGGATGCTCCACACGTATCTACATCCTCAATGTTAGGCACATGAGTGTGGCATATGAATACATAAGATAAGGCTGAAGAACTCACAACAACCATCATCATAGTGCCAAGTGGATAATCCATCTTGGCTGACGTCTTAAGTTCCCAACGTTACAGATGCCAGTCCTCAGCCAACGTGATTCTCTCTCAAATGTATACCACGGTCACCTCTGCTGGACCTGTCCTGTTGGTGGAACAGGACAAATCCAGGGATAGAAATGGTAGTGTCTGGGACATAGTCATGCGAACAATCGTAACTCTCAGACAATATCAAGCTGTTGTGCAAATAGTCTGCGGACAGCTCTCCCAATTTCGGTACAAGCCTTGGTAAGGAGGGTTTTGTAGGGTCGACAGGGCTGGATTTACCATTATCATTTCCAGTCCTTGGGTCAATGCCAAGTTGTCCAAACAGTTTCCTCCTTCCTCTAGGTCATTTCAAAGGACAGTTAAGAGTTAACCAGATTGCTGCAGGTCTGGAATCACATATAGGCCAGACCAGGCATGGGCAGTACAGTTTCTTCTCTAAAAGACAGGAGTGAACCAACTGACTATGATTCATGGTCAGCACAAAGATTAGTACTTAATTCAAACTTGTGGTGGGATTCAAGTCCATAACCCTAGAGTTAGTCCTGGGCCACTACATACCAGGGCAGTGACATTGGGGCGGCATGATGGCTCAGTGGTTAGCACTGCAGCCTCACAGCGCCAGAGACCCGGGTTCGATTCTACCCTCAGGCAACTGTCTGTGTGGAGTTTGCACATTCTCCCTGTGACCGCGTGGGTTTCCTCCCACAATCCAAGGATGTGCAGGCTAGGTGGATTGGCCATGCTAAGTTGCCCGTAGTGTTCAGGGATGTGTAGATTAGATGGGTTATAGGGGGATGGGTCTGGGTGGTATGTTCCAAGGGTCAGCGTGGACTTGTTGATCCGAAGGGCCTGTTTCCACACTGTAGGGATTTTATGATTCTATTCTATTCTATGATTATCAAGATATCATCGGACAATTTGAAGAGGTCAGAATATAAGGAGTACACATATTTTCAAAGATTGTATTATAGAGATTAGAGAGATAGACAGTGACAAGGTCACTTGAATGGATAGCCTAAGAACATAAGAAACAACAGTAGCCATAAGCTGTTCAGCCTTTCGAGCCTGTTATCCCCACTGATTAAAATCATCGAAAAATTACTACCTTAACTCCACCATATCCAATACTTCATTGGTATCCAAAAGTCTGTCAGTCTCTGTCTTGAATTACTTAAAAGATAAGCATTCACAGTTATCAGGGATAAAGAATTCCAAAGATTTGCAACCCTTTAAATAAGGAAACCTCTCACCATCTCAGTCCTAAAGAGGTGACCACTGTTCTACCATCCCAGGACACAGGAAGTATCCTGCCAGCATCTTCCCTGTCAAGATCGTTAAATGTTTTCAGTGCAAATACTTATTCGTTTAAACTCCAGGCAACGGAGTCCTTCTCCAAGGTACAGTGGTATACAATCAAGGAGCTGCCCTGGGAGTTCTCAACACTGACTCCAGACATTATAATCCTCATATCCCAGGAATCTGTCTCATGAAATTTTGTTGGACTCCCTCAGACAAATAAAACTTAGCTTGGATACAATAACAGAAACTGTACATGATTCTTTAGATGCAGTCGCATGAAGAAACTATATAACTGGAGCAAGACATCCTTATGCTCATATTCAAATACTGATAGAATTAAAAATTGCATACCATTATTTTCTTGCTGGATCTGCATGCTTACTTTGAGATTATTTTCCAAGGACTTAGGTTATTCTGATAAATAACAATTATCAATCTTTCAACTTTAAAAAAAAATCTATTTTTCCCACCAAAGTGCATAACTTCACAACTCTCAACATTATATTCCATCTGCCTATGTCTTGTCCACTCAATTAACCTGTCTATGTTGCTCTGCAGCCTTTTTGCACCCTCCTCTCAGTTTATTTTGTGTCATAAATTTGTATACGTAGCAACTGTGGATAAACTGCATGCATTCTCCTCAATTAAGTCATTGATGAGACCATAAAATATAGGAGCAGAATTAGGCCATTCTACCCTTCGAGTCTGTTCTACCATTTGATCATGGCTCATACGTTTCTCAACTCCATTCTCCTGCCTTCTTCCCATAAGAGCCCTTACTGATCAAGAACCTATCTCTGTCTTAAATACACTCAGTGACTTGGCCTCCACAGTCCTCTGAGGCAGTGAATTCCACAAATTCGTTATCCTCTGGGTTAAGAAATTCCTCATCAGATCTAAAGAGTCATCCCTTCACTCTTGAGGCTCTGCCATCAGGTCTGTCTTGTAAATTTCCTCTGGACTCCTTTGAATGCCAGAACATCCTTCCTTTGAATACAGAGGCTAAGACTGCTCACAATATTCCGAATGCAGTCTGACCAGAGCCTTATGCAACCTCAGCAGTACGTCTCTGCTCTTGCATTCCAGCACTCTTGAAATGAATGTTAACATTGCATTTGATTTCCTAACTGCCAAGTGAACTTGTATGTTAACCTTAAGAGAATCCTGAACTAGAACTCGCAAGTCCCCTAGTGCTTCAGATTTCTGAAGCCTTTCCCCATTTAGAAAATAGTCTACACCTCTATTCTTCCCACCAAAGTGCATAACCTCTCAATTGCCCATATTGTATTCCATCTGCCACTTTTTAGCCCATTCTCCTAGCCCGTCTACGTCCTTTTCCAGCTTCCCCACTTCTTCAACATGACCTGTCCCCTTCCACCAATCTTTGTGTCATCTGCAAATTTATCAGTAAAGCCCTGTGTTCCTTTGGCCGGATCATTAACGTACAGACTCCTTTGGAACGCCACTAGTCACCAGATGCAATCCTGAAGACCCCTTTATCCCTACTCTCTGCCTTCAGCCAGTCAGTCAATCCTCTATCCATGCTTGTAACTTGCCCCTAACACCATTGGGCTCTTATCTTATTTAGCAACCTTCTCTGTAGCACTTGTCAAAGGCTTTCTGGAAATCCAAATAGATCATGTCCATTGGTTCTCCCTTATTTTAGTTGCTCGTTACCTCCTCAAAAGAATTTTACCATATTTGTCAGGCTTGACCTCTCTTTGAAGTAGCTGTTGTGACTCAGCTGTATTTTACCTCGCACTTCCAAGTACTCTGCAATCTCATCTTAAATAATGGACTCTGAAATCTTAACAAAGTCAGGCTAACTGGCCTAGTTTCCGGTCTTCTGCCTTCCTCCCTTCTTAAACAGGGGTATTGATATTGTTTGTAAATATTTGAATTGATTTTGTAAACAAGAATCAGAAATTTAAAATTGAGGCTTTGCCTAACTAGGACAGCACTGAATAATCAAAGTTGTAGATAACGTGTGACTACTCTCGTGGATTAATTGTTTAATCAAGTATTCAATTATATTTGGTTCTTTTTTTAAAAACAAGAAATCATCATGCCACTTATCGTAACAGTCAGACAACTATTAATAAAGCCGCACAACATGCAGTGAGCATAATTTGTTCACCAAAATTCAACATTATACTTTATTTTAAAAGTATGCAGTTAACTGTTTATTATTAGCCTGGGGAATTCTTCTGGCAGTTTCATCAGAATTTTTTTTAAATTACATATGCCATGTCTTGGCTGTTCTTACAACTTCCAATAAAAGGGGATTGTCCAGTTGGATTATGCATTGACAAGCATGTCAGTCAGTTTGCTCCTTCTCACCTTTTACAGCATCACCTATCAGATCCTAATGCAATTAATTATTTGGTGCAACGTATCAGTGGCTTTTTCTAAACTCACGCATTGTGAGTATACCTACCCGGTATCCAAGAAGGTCTTCTGGTGAATTTGCTGCTCTTTCTTCAGTGAAACGTCTCTTTTGTGGCTGAGGAGGTGGCGGCATTGGGTTACTAGTACCTGTGGTCTGGAACTGATACTCTGAGCTGGACAAAGACACTGGCATTGGAGCAGAGTTTACAGGCTGGACCTAAGAATAACCGACAAATACTTAATAAAACTACAACAATAGACTGACGAGAAATCAACCAACCCAAAAATCTGAAACTGAAAAAACTAACCAGGGCTTGCTTTTATATAAATTAGTCTCCTAAGTAATATGGGTGATTTGAATGTTAATAAATCACTGGGGAGGATGTCCTGTAAGAATCTCCAAATGAGGCCATCTGGGTAGAGTTTGGGGGGAGAAAAGGGATGATTACACTGCTGAGATTATACTACGGGCCTCTTAAAAGGTCAGAGGGAAATACAGGAGTAGATGTGTAGGCAAATGAGAGAGAAACAGGGTTATGTCTGTAGGGGGCTTCAACTTTGCTAACATTAACTGGGATCATCTTACTGTGAAAGAATTAGAGGGGGTGAAATTTTTAAAGTGCATCCAGGAGAGCCTTTAGTGCCAGTATGTAGATACTCCTACTGGAGGTGCCGCAGCGCTAGGCCTAATCCCAGGGAATGAAGCCGATCAAGTGATCAAAGTTTCAGTGGGGGAGCATTTGGGGTTAGAGACCGTAGTAAGTCTGCATTTGGAAAATGGGAGTCTTTTAAAAGCAGTATAGTGAGAATTCAAGGCCAGCTAGTCCTCTAATAGTGAAGGGCTAGGGCAGCAAGTCCCTGGATACTAAAGGCCATTGAGAGTTTAATGAAGAAAAACGAAGCATATGTTAGGTACAGTGCATTAAAAACAAGAATAGGGAGTATAGGAGAAGGCTTAAAAAGGAAATTAGAAAAGCAAAGAGGGGCTACAAAATATCTTTGGCAAATGGGGTTATGAGAAATCACAAAGCTTTTCATAAGTATGTTAAGAGTGATCAGATTACCAGGGAAAGAGTGAGACCCATTAGAGACCACAGGGGCAATCTGTGCATGGAGCCAGTAAATGTGGGTGAGCTCTTAAATGAATACTTCTCATCTGCATTCACAGGAGAAAGACATTATAGCTGGGGATTTTAGCTGAGGTTCTAGAATATGTTATGTCTAATAAGGAAGAGGCATCTGGTATTTTAGTAGGCATACAGATGCATAAATCCCTAGGCCTGATGAGATGCCTCCCATAGCTGCCTGGGATACAAGAAAGGAGATTGCTGGTGCCCTGGCAGATATATTTAATACTTCACTGGCCACAAGTGAAGTGCCAGATGACTGGAGAGGAGATAATGTGGTTCCTTCGTTCAAGAAGGGAAGAAGGGCTAGGCCAAGTAATTACAGACCAATGAGTCCAACATCAGTCATAGGGAAATTATTGGAGAAAATTCTGAAGAACAGGTATTAATCAATACTTGGAAAGATGGGGATTGGTCAGGGATAGTCAGCATGGATTTGTTAGAGGGAGATCCTGGTTGACTAATTTAATTGAGTTTTTTGAAAAGGTAACTAAATATAATGATGAGGGTAGTGCAGTTGATGTGGTTTACATGGATCTTAATAAGGCCTTTGACAAGGTCCCATATGGAAGGCTGGTCCAAAACGTTAGAGCCTGTGGTATCCGAGGCAAGTTGACAAACTGGATCCAAAATTGCCTTATAAATAGTAGGCAAAGGGTGATTGCGCAGGGTTTTTATTGTAATTGAAAGCCTGTGACCAGCAAGGTAGTATAGGGATCAGTGCTCGGACACTTGCTGCTTGTTATGGGCATTAAAAACTAGGACGTGAATGTAGAAGGTTTAATTAGTAAGTCTGCAGATGACACAAAAATTGGGGTGCTGTTGATGGTGAGGATGGTGGCCTCAGGCTACATTTTGATATGATCAGATGGTAAATTCGGCAGGGCAATGACAGATGGAATTTAATCCTGATAAATACACGGTGATGCATTTTGGGAGGTCTAACTAGGGGAAGGATATACATAACGCATAGTAGGTCCCTCCAGAATACTGAGGAACAAAGAGACCTTGGTGTACAAGTCCACAGATCCCTGAAGACGTCAGCACAAACAGGGGTGGTAAAGAAGGCATACGGGTGCTTCACTTCATTAGCCGGGATGTAGAACATCAGGGAAAGGAAGTCTTGTTACAATTTTATGAAACATTAGTTGGGCTGCAGATGGAACAGTGAGCAGTTCTGGTTGCCACGTTATCACAAGAATATGGAAAGAGTGCAGAGGAGATTCACCAAGATGTCGTGTGGGATGAAAAGTCTCAGTAATGAGGAAATACTTGACAGGCTGAGCTTGTTTTCCTTGGGACAGAGGAGCTCGGTGGGGGGTGGTGGGGATCTGATTGAGACATGGAGAGTTATGAAAGGCACAGAGACAGTAGATTGTGAGAATTGCTTCACCATGGCAACTGTGTCTAAGGCCTGAAAACATAAGTTTAAGGCAAGGAGCGAGTCGTTTACAGTAGATCTGCAAAACACTTGACAAAATGACATTCTGACAAAACACCCAGAAGACGGCAGATATCTATAACGTGCTGCCTGAGAGAGTGGTGGACGCAGGTACTCTCGCAACATTTAAGAAGCATCTGGATGAGGACTTAAAGTGACAGTGCACTGTAGGCAATGGTCCACGAGCAGGTAAATGGGATTAGTGCAGTTTGGTGTTTGTTAGTAGGCATAAACATGGTGGACTGAAGGGCCTGCTTCTAAGCTGTATGATTCTAAAAAGGCTAAACACTGCTTTACGTTTAAATGATTCAGTTTTGTAACTTAAATGTATTAACAAGCCAAGCACACTCATGTTATGTGGCTATTTTGAGGTCAAAGTATTTTATTGCATCTTAAATAGGTACTTTGAGCCTCACTTTTAACACACTTCAGTTTGGTATATGGTTTGATTCTTGCTAATGTGACTTCTTTTTCTTTGGAGACCAAAGGCCAGTATGGTCTATTGACAGTAACATCAGTTAACTTGTTTCGGGTCAGAAGCCACAAGACATCAGATTATAGTCCAACAGGTTTATTTGAAATCACAAGTTTTTGGAACGCTGATGGTGCTCCAAGATCACAGGTGAGGCTGTCTTCACTGGTACAGAACGAGGCTATCAGTTTCTGCTTGGCAATTCAGTGTTGTTGCGTATCTTGAAGGTCGCCTTGGTTGACGCTTACCCGAAGATCGTAAGTTGAATGTCCTTGACTGCTGAAGTGTTTCCCGACTAGGAGGGAACATTCCTGTCTGGCGATTATTGCATGATGTGCATTCATCCTTTGTAATTGTGTTTGCATGGTCTCACCAATATACCATGCCTTGGGGCATCCTTGCCTGCAGCGTATGAGATAGACAACATTGACCAAGTCGCATGAATATCTGCCATGTACATGGTGGGCGGTGTTTCCCACGTGATGGTAGTATCCATGTTGATGATGTGGCATGAGGTTGCCATGGCAGGGTTTTGTGGCATTGTATTGATGTCATCCTGAAGGTTTCCACCCTAGCTTCTACATACACCTCTAGCTTCCACCCTAAACATGTTAAAGAAGCCATCCTCTATGGACAAGCCCTGCATATACACAGGCTCTGTTCAGACAAGGAGGAATGTGATGGAAACCTAAAGATGCTGAAAAACGCCCTCATAAGAATGGAATATGATGGTCAACTCATCGATCGCCAGTTCCGACATACTTTAGTGAAAAACCGCAACAACATCCTGAGAAGACAGACACAGGACATGACCAATAGTATACCCTTCATTATACAGTACTTCCCCGGAGCAGAGAAACTATGACATTTCTTCATAGCCTTCAACACATCATCGACGATGACAAACATCTCTCCAAGATCACCCCTACACCTCCACTTCTCACCTTCTAACAACCTTAAACAGCAAACTACCAAGCCTTCAGGGCAACATCGACCACAACACCACACAACCCTGCCATGGCAACCTCCGCAAAACATGTCAGATCACTGACATGGATACTATTGTTACACAAGGGAACACCATACAACACGTACACGGCAGATACTCATGTGACTCAGCCAATGTTGTTTACCTCATACGCTACAGGCATGGTATGGTAGCTTGGTGAGACCACACAGGCACTACAACAATGGATGAATGGACACTGCGCAACAATTGCCCGACAGGAATGTTCCCTTCTAGTCGGGGAACACTTGAGCAGTCAAGGACATTCAGCCTTCGATCTTTGGGTAAGTGTCCTCCAAGGCGGCCTTTGAACTACACAGCAACACCAAGTCACCAATCAGAAACTGACAGCCAAGTTCCGTACCCGCTAAGACGGCTCAACCTTGATCGTGGGTTTACACTGTGCTACATGTAACCCCACCATACTGTTTTGTATCTGTAAAATCTTCTTTACTGTCCTGTTTTGACACCATCACCTTGATAACTTGTTACGATCTCTCTAACTTAATTAGTTTGCAGAGTTTTGGATTAGTTGTTACTTTGGTTAGACCCTTGGCACGCAACACTCATATCTGTCATTTTATTCCACCAATTTGGTTTGTTTCCAGTACCACATTATTTTAATTTTTTGTAATTATCTTTCTGCCTCAATTAGTCGGATTATAGATCATCCCTTCACTTGCTATTCAGCTGCTGACACTATACTCACACCGTTTGACACTTTTGATCACCTGCAGAGAATTATTACTCGACCTGTTGACACTCCACTCACACCATTTGTACGATCTTTCGGTCTCTCCGCCTATAAATTATGTGCCTATGTGCTTCTCTTCACTCCAGCTGATGAAGGAGCAGCGCTCCAAAAGCTTGTGATTTCAAATAAATCTGTTGAACTCTAACTCTGTGTCATGTGATTTCTGACTTGGTCCACACCAGCATCTCCACATCTTAACTTGTTTCGTGACATCAACAGTTATCTATTCTCACATTCTCACAAATAAAAGATATCAGTGGGCTTTCGAATTTTCCACAAATTAAATGCATCATCTGGGGGAATTCTAGATGATAATAATTCACTAAGAACAAAAAACAATACAGCACAGGAACAGGCCCTTCAGCCCTCCAAGCCTGCAGCAAAAAATTTTGCCCTTCCATACTAAAACTGTCTTCA